CTCTTTATGAAAAGTAAAGAGGAATAATTTATATAATAATTGTGAAGATACGTATAACAATTTTGACATAAAATACTGGACACAAAGTAGTGGCAAACTTAGATCACTAAAAAAAGAAATCTGATTTCTTGATGATCCCACTGGAAAAGAGAGGTCAGCTTCAAAATATAATACCCCTTTTTGCTTTACATCCAAATATACAGCTTGTGGTTAAAATTTATAGGAATTACATCAGTGATTCATTGCATGCCTGTGATTAGTTACAGCATGGAATCAAAATCTTTCTGAATTGGAAAAATATCACCTGACCCAACTGAGTCACCTTTTTAATAACTGATGTCTGATCTTTTCACAGATGTTGATGTAAAGCAAGAGGGATGGGAGAACATCTTTCGAGTTAAACTTCTAACTGGCACACTTTAATTAGTGGTATCCTGAGAAAGATTTGTTTCTGAAAAGATGATTTTCTCTTTTCGGAGATTTTCTGATCAGTTTTGAAATAAAACTGTAGAGGAAAATTAAGCAGGGAGAGCAAAGCCAGGAATTAAACCTGGATCTTGTGTTCTATGACTTGTCTCTGTCAAGAGGATACTGAAGGTAGTATGACTCCATTATGTGCTAGAAGCTGAGCATTTGGTTAAGGGCTTTCCTAATGGGATTGTTAGAAATTTGAAGTAGTTAAAACTGTAAATATTTTTTAACTGATTTAAGGTTTACTGACCTGGCACACCGAGGAATGGTTAAACTATAGAGAGACATTTATAGTGCTTAAGTCTGCAGAACATGGTCTATACAGAAGGTATTGATGTCTTATACATCACTGTAAAATACATCAAGGATTAGTATTTTGTAATTTTTTTCTATGTTTTGATGTTTTTATTGCACCCTCTTAATTATTTCATGTGTTTCTAGCAGATATTTTGACAGAAATGACTGATAAGTTTACAGGACAAAGAGAAAGGATAAGGATTACTTGCAAGAAGGAAGGAAGGAAGCTGAAGGCTGAAGGGAAGAAGAGACATAGTGCGCAGAGATCAGGAAGAGCATCTTCCTAATGGCCACGTACCTTATGCTTTTGTGCATGGCTGGTGGTGGCTGTTCTTGTAACAGTACAGCATGAGTTGTCTTAGCCAGCCACATCTCTCTTCTCCATGGGATGTAATCCAAGGTGGAATCTAGAGGCAGAAGCAATCCTCTGTCTCCTACATTGCGGGGAGATAGTTTTGCATGGAAACCTTTGTAAAGCTCTTGGCATGTGGAAAGTTCTCAGTCCTGTGGGCACAGACTGCTGGGACCATGATTCAGATGACTAATGTGGGCAGCAGCTGTGTATAAGAGAGCATTTTGAGTGTAGCAGAAGAAAAGGCTAAGGCTAGAATGAGGTAAGTCTGTGATTCCACTTAGGATGTGCCTGTATGCCTGTGAGTCACTGGCTAAGCGTGCAAGGTGAGAGTTATCTTGGCTTAAACTGAAGTGTTTTTTCTCTTCCAGAAAATGAATCATCTGCTTCTGAGTGTATCTTTATTTCTTATTTTTTATGAAGTAGCAGTTTTCAAAGGCTTTGGTACATTCAAATATGTGGGGTTTACTGGCATAGCAGAGGACCTTTCAAGTGAAGGTAACTCACTCACCTGTTGGGGCTAGTATTTTTTAGCCTTTTCCCAGAAATATGCCTGAGTGATCAGGACAGTACCAGAAAGACTGTCCTGCTGGCATTGCATCTGTATTCCCAGAGGTGTCATTGCATAGACGATAGCGCAGTCAAAATTGCAAGTAAACTTTCAGTCTACTTAAGTTTTTTCTTCTTACCTTGTCCACTTCTAGCTTTGAAGGGAGTAATTTTGTTGTGTTAAAGTGTGGAAAAGAGGATCTGCTGCCCCTGGAAACACTGCGCCTGGGCCTGAAGTTGTCCTGGTACTGAGGAAGCTCCAAACTGTTAGTTTTCTCTTTGACTTTACTAGTATAAAAACTGTGTAGGTAGTGGTTGAGCAGACCTGTTACATCAGAGACGCAGTCTGGAAGGAGGGTGGCAGTGCTGGCAGAAGACCAAGAGAGCCTTCAAATTCTGTGTGTCCTCATGGACAGTGCCATGGGGGTAGTTATGAAGCATCACGAGATACAAGATGGCTTGCAACCACAATTAGTTTATTTGATTTTTTTTCTTGCTCTTGGGGGAGTTGTATCTGTTCAGATAACATACTTTCTATGTTTTCCTTTATACCTATGAAGAGAATAGGTAATGAGATACATAATTCATATGTTTTGTTGTAGATGTTAGCAAAAATATAAGCAGCTGGATTTGGTGCATTGGGAGCCACATTAGATGTATAGATGGATCCCTCTTGGCATTGACATGCATTTGATGTGCTGAATCAAGAAGAGGAGCTACTTCAGACAGACAAGTCCCATTTTCACACCTTTCTCTGACTCTTACCAAGCAGCTTAGGCTTCAGACTCTTCAGCTCTTGTTAGTAAAGGTTATGTTAAAGTGAGCTCAGGTGGCTAACTAGACTTTGGATCATCCATCACCTGTGTGTCAGCTTGATTCTGAGACAAATAGTTCACAAGGCAGAAGGAATACCTACTGCTCATATCATGAATCTATTAGGGAAGGAATTGGTGCTGACTGGGCTGGGTGATTCCCACTGTGACACAGGTAATCCTGCATGAGTTTTGCCTGTGGCTCCATGTCTCATTCCTTTGGTCCAGCCTCTGATGAAGCAAAGGCCAGCATGTTGTCAAGCCCAGATCCGTAGTATGTGTCATCTGCACCCAGGCCTCACTGTCAAAGGCTATGGCAAGTTACCTTCTGAAGAAGATGGTCTCATGGGCAGAGTATCCACTACTGAACTCAACAGCTTGTGACTAAAGGCTTCAATATTGTGATCAGGCAGAATCCTCTCCTAACTTTGAGTTACATGGAGGCTGGGGTGGGGAAGTAATTTTCTGTTCTTTTTTCACTGCGATAGTTGAGTTTTTCTTGACTTGGGGATTTCCTCAAGGTGGTGGCTTTTTTACCAGTGTCACTTGGATTTTAAAATAATCTAGTTATTTCTTTTTAATTCAGCATCTTATCATCACTGTCTCAGAAGTAGTATGCGCCTATCTGCACCTTTTTATCTGTGGTGTGTGATCAACTGAACTGTATTTCTCTGTCTGACTGAAGGAGATGTTGAGATACTGAGGTGGTTCTTGCTCGGTCATAACGACCTGGCACTCGGATTATTCCTGATAGAACTGTGGCTGTGGAACCGACCTATGATTTCAGTCCCACAGAGGTTAATTTCTCAGCTGATCAGTCATTTGATGAGTCCCGCCTTCTCTCTCTTTCAATAATGTGTTTGGGAAAGATTTCAGAAGATAATTCATATAGCTTATTTTCCCTTGCTAGGCAAAATACAAGCTTCCTTTTTTTTTTTTGTTTGTTTTGACTTTTTTCTTCATATCTGCATAGCTGCAATTAAATATAGAAAGCATTGGGAATTTTTCTGTCTTGTTAATTAATTTTTGCTGGGCCAAGTGCCTTAATTTCCTTATGATGTCTTCTGAAGATATTTCTATTTTGAGGTAATGAGAACATTAAATTGTGCATATTTTTCATACTAAATATGTTTGAACTTTTTGCAGGATAGAAAGTATATGATGTGTTTTATAATTCAATATGATTACCATTGTGAACTTTAGTCACTGGAGCTAATCAGTAAGTGGTTTGTTGTTACAGCTGGTTGTTAGGTTTTCATTCGTGGCATGAAATTCTTCTTCATATTTCTTAATTCTCTGACTAACCTCACTTTCCCATGATATGGCAAAGAAAAACAGGGTGATGCTACAATGCAGGCTAGCTATTTGCTTTTGTATATAACAATTTCTAGGGGGAAAGGGGTCAGGAAAAGAATCACTACAGTTCTGAGGATGACCTGATGTTACTGTGTTATGTCCAGGAGTTGGATTTTCCACTATTAATAGCTTTTGAACATGTATAAGTAGGATTGGTTCATCTTGAGTTTTCTTTGTTTTCTCAAAATACTGAAGTTGTCAATCATTGCAGAGAATCCTTAGGACTTACCTAAGATAGTGAAAGTCACCGGCAGAGAGGTACTCTTAATTGGAGGATATATAACTTTATAATTTAAAATTCTATTTTTACCATTAATAATAATCTGATGGATATTTACTTTAATTTCTCATACTATTTCCTGAAATTGGCACTTCTTGAAAGATGGAGAAGCTTTTGAGAAAGCTGCCTTTTTCTTAAAGTTTGGATTTAAATTGCAGAATAACGGATTGAAAAGAATTTTGATGTATAAATTCTAAATTAGATAATGGAAAAACAGGTGTTTCTTAATTTACTCATAGCAGTAGCCTTTAAGTGAATCATCATGCGTTAAAGTAGTCTGATGGTAGAAACGTGAACATTGTCTGACTGTGATGGGAAAAACTTAAGAAGAGTGGGAAAGGAAAAAGGCAGGATAACTCCTTTAAATGAAAGAAGCTTAAATATTCAGACACATCAAAACATTATTGGAAACAGATTTTTGGACAAATTTCCTATTGCAACTATGTATGTGTTTTTCCATCATCCTCATATTTTAAGAGTGTGGGTGGAAAATAAGCATATTAGTCTTGAATGCAAAGGGTAGGCCTATATCATCATCAAATTTGTTATACTCATCTACCTCTTCCACAATATTTTTCCTCAGCAAAGACAGTGTGACAGGTAGGTACAGTTACAAAACTCGGGGAAGATTATTTTGCATTAAATGTCTGCTTAGCAAGATACCACCTACATAAAACCTCATGTGTATTTATTATGGGAAACTGTTTAATCTTGCATTTAATAATTGATTCAGTCCTCCTAGTATCTTCAGGCCTATTTCAGAATTAAACCCTAAAAACATTGGAACCAACAAAAGTAGCTTTTGTCACATATTCTTTCTTTTAATTTAGATTAGTTATGATATGTAGTCAAATATTTTATTTAGAAATGTGTTTTTTTTCAGGATGGGAAGAAGAAGTTTGACAAGGAAAGTGAGAAATATTATTCCATCCTAGAGAAGCACTTAAATTTATCAGCAAAGAAGAAAGAATCTCATTTGCAAGATGTAAGCAGTAAACATACTCTTACCCAGTTTCACGTTTGCATAGAGATCATGGTAGCAGACTGGTTCTCTTCAAGACTTGCTGTGTTTTTTTAATGTGAAATTGGGGTGGTTTCTTGTGGTCACACTTCTTGTGAATATAAATTCTTGTGTGGGATTAATATGACCTTAATAAGTCTTAAATATTTTAAGAAGGCAATGTACTACGTGTTCAACTTTGTGTATTTCAAGTACAGCTAATGTTTATTGGTCACAAAACCATAATTATATCACTACAATAAAAATGTGACTTTTATAAGGTATTTGCAGAATATTTGAAAGTCAGTTATTTTTGCTATTTAATTTATTACATTATGAAATGCTTTTGTTTCACATAGACTTTAATCTGGGAGACTGATCTGAGACAACCTTAATGATGCTTTTTTCTTCTTTTTCACCTTATTCTGAGTCTGCAGCATCATGCCCTGAAATGGTGTCCACAACTTCAGCTTTGAAGAGTCTGTATGACTAATTCTTTTCTGTTAAAAAAACAAACAATGAAGACTTGTAGTTTAACAGGAGGATTCCAGGGCTTTTTCAGTATGCTGGTAGAAATAATTATGATTTGCATTTGAGGCAAATTACAGTAAAACCAGCAATTTGATATCAATGACACTTTGGGATTTGTGCCAAAAGTAGTTAAAAATTACTTGATGAGACTATTCTTATCACAGTGGCTCTAAAATCATGGGGATTAATTTGCAGATTGAGTTCAGTTTTCACAGAAGATCACTCAGTCACAAATTGTAGGATTTCTTTTCATGTTTACCAATAATACCAGTATAATACCAATAATTACCAATAATACCAAAATTCCAATTAAATGAGGCTTAGCTATTAAAAATTTGCAATAATGTTTATAATCCTGAGTCGCCTATATAATAATTACTCTAGGTAAGACAATAGTTGTGTAGAATTGCTTAATTATTCCACTTGCATGTCAAAGTTTTATATACGTACAACTTTCACTTTTTCTGAATACCGTGTGTATTGCTGAGAAGCAGTTCTGTTAGAGACAGCACCAGCTCCTGGGAGGGGGGGGGGGGGGATGGGGGGAAAATTATCAAAATGTGGAAAAGTTAACTTAATCATCAATTAATGCTAGAATAGAAATGAAATAAAATATTTTACTCTGGACACATGAGGTTAATTGCAGACTAAAAACAGCAACTGAAGTGAAAAGTAACAACTGGGAATCTAATAAACTGTGGTAGAATAACAACGGATTTGGCTCAAGTTTATAAACTAATGGAAAACCAGAATAAATTTTTCCACTGTGTCCTTAAATGACGTCTCTGGATTTAAAAATGTTGTAACTGAGGCTGAAGTTTTTTGCCTTTCTGAATGCCCTGCTTATAAAGCACTTAGGGCATAACTTGTCATTTCTGTCTTCTATGGTTTTGTGCAGCTGTAGGTGTGTTGAATCAGTGATATGGACACACCATAAATAGAATGTATCAGCAGATCAGTACCAAAAATGTTAACTGGGTATCTTTTGGCCTGTATCTGTACCAGAAATAAAAGGAAAGCCAAGCACCAGTTCCGTGCCTGAAATCCAAGTGATTGATGTTAACTCACATATAGAGTGATTCCAGTGAGCTCCATTTGTAGCCTGTGTGGCCAGGACAGAGTTCCTGGAGCAGTCCACAGCAGAGCCAGGGCACGAGCAAAGAGCCACAGGGTGCTGGTGACTGGGGCTGCAAGGCTCAGTGCAAGTGAAGGGAAGTTCTCGCCTCAAGGCAACCCCATGCATTTAGTGAGATGGGATACCTTTTACTGACTGCTGCTGTCACTGAAAAATACTTTTTTTTAAGCCATTGTTCCTTTGAATGTTGAGGTTTCTTGGTACCTTATCTCATTATGTGGGTTAAAGAGCACTGTGATGAGCAAGGAGTAGTTCTTGTACCCTTTTGGGCTATTTTACATATCTCACTTGAGTACAATTGAGAGCAGCTTAATTAGGCATCTAAAGTTTGATGGTCTGAACATATTCTATAGAGAGTTATTTGCATATATTCATTTAATTGGTGTGCGTTGGATATTTATGAGCCTGCAAGACTGCTTGTGCAGTTTATACAGATAACTAGACTTTTTTTTCCTATAACATCAAAAAGAAACTTCATAATACTGTCTTTTTAATGCCTACAGTATTCCACAGTGCAGCAGAAAATGGTCAGAATTGAGTGATACATAAAAGCTAATAATCTCCTGATTTTATTTCTCTGAAATCTGTTCCAGAACCAGGCCTAAATATAGAGCAAAGGCTTCATCTCCAAGCTTATGTGAAATTCCATATGCATTTTAGTCATATCCTACATTACTTACCTTAACTAGATATCATACAGAATTACAGCCATCAAATCTTTTTGGTTTTTTACATGCAGCTTGAAGTCATACAAAAATGTTAAAATCCTTCCAGCTTTTGAAACTTTAAAATCACTTTCAAAATGTTCAAATCTGAAACCTCAGAGTTCACACAAATTCGTAAGTTTCTATGGAAGAAGTATTTTGGAAATGGTGATTTAGTCCCTGTACACTAGTAACAATTATGGCATTAATGTAAGAACCCATCCATATTTGACATGGCACTTGGTTGTCATAAGTATCATTACAACTACAATCTGCTTAAATGCTGTTCAGAATAGGGTTGGATTTAATTAGGGGTTTAAATACTTTTTCTGAGTCAAAGACTGAAAGACCTCATTTCTACAACTAGATTCTATTATTTGCTTACAATTATATATGAAAGCTGAGGTCTGTCTCAAGTGCTTATTGACAGCACTTGTGTGAGTGAATAGCTATTCAGCTATGTAGCACTGGCTTTGATGTATTTTTTTGTGAAATAAGACTATTAAGAGAGTATCAAAGAAAACGGTAGCCAAATGCACCATAGGAATGGCACATGGCAGAGTTAATTCTGCAGTAAAGTGCTGGACTGTTGGACTTCTGAGTGCCTGATTTTTGCTTCATACTGTTAGTTTGTGAACTCCATTTCCTGATCAGGTTTTTATAAGCATGGGAAGGAAATGCTAGTACCGCATCATTTGAAGCATATCATTGAGGCCTATGCTTTGAAGCAGTGTTGGAGCACTGTGCTGGGGAAGTGAATCAATGTTGCTAAAGAGTCTGTGCAGCCAAATCATGGTAGTAGCATCTTGTTGACTAAAGAAGCAGTGTTAATTATATATGGTACTGTTGCAGGCCAAGTCCTGCCTGAAGGGAAACATCGACTTTTTGCATTTTTATTGTTGAAAATATGAAAACACTGGTCTATTTGCTGGTTTAGTGTTTGCTGTCAAGGGAAGACAGTATCTAGCTTTTCCAGTTTTCGTTTATTTGATTTTTATTTTTTTTTTAGTGCCAGAGTTGAACTAGAGAATATACGGAAATATACTGCTATATTTTAACTGGCAGATGTCAAAACTAACTGAACTGGTGTTACTCATGTTGTTGATACTTGATAGAATTTCTTTCTGACCTAAGACCAAAACCTAACTAATGCAGCCCAAAAGAGGTTTGCGTGAGAAAATGATTAGTTATGAAGGAAGATGAATTAAAATTAAATCTGCATCTCTTCCTTAAGCATTATCCACATACTATACTACCTGTCTATTAGGTTCTTCTCCTATGGCTTGTTTAAATTGAGGGTAAAAGTCTGTTACTCTTTATCAGTTGATAAGAGTTAATTCTTTAGCTATCTAGGCAGAAGATGCTGTTTTGTTAGTGGATCTTCATGTTGGTTGCTATTAGTCAGACACTTCCGACAAGTATTGCCTTGTGGTTCTGGCATTTGAAAATTAAAACATGAAAAATAATTGATTTATGAGGTTAAGGACTTAAATATGTTTATATTCCAAGAGCATGAGACTCATATTGTGAAACAATAAGTTTCAAGATGTCATTGTTAAAGACAGTCTATTTAAGAAAGAAAATATCTTTTGGGGAAAGTATTTGAAGCTTAGAAATACATATAATTTTAGTGCATGTGATAGTCAAACATTTCAGTCGAAATAATTATCTTTTTGTCCATCCTTAATTCCTATCCTCTCTTCTGTTTCTTTCTCTAAGCTTGCCATATACCAGGGAGAGATTTCCTGCTGCTGCCTTTCTATGTTTCCTCCTAGGGTATCCTAAAAAGTAGAATATTAAAGTGCAAAAATGAAGAGGACACCAAAAAGGCGTGCGGAAAAGGCATGAGACTAAAATGTGTGATGCTAGTTTCTTAAACTTATGTTTAGCTATTTTAAGTAGGTATTCTAATTTTCGCGAAGCAAACTGACCACCATGAAGCTTGTAAAGTAATCTTATGGAAGATCTGCTTGTTAATGACAAAATCTGTTTTTAAAGCAATCATGAGAGTAAATTAATGTTGTCTATGTTTCATTTTGTCTTTTAGGCAGATACACAGATTGACAGAGAACATCAAAACTTTTATGAAGCATCATTAGAATATGTTTTTAAAATTCAAGAAGTACAAGAGAAAAAGAAATTTGAATTTGTAGAACCTGTAAGTTTTATGGTTTATTTTCTTTAGAGTGTATGCATTTAAAGCTGAAAATTGAATTTGCTCCCTTTTTATCTTGTGATTGCAGGTTGTTCGTATATAGAGAGACATTAAGATCTTGGCTTGTATATAGACAGACATTAAGATATTGGCTTGGGTACTTTCCATGTTTATTAAAGGATTATATAAGAGCATCATATCTATTGTCAATTGAAATGTCTGACCACTTGGAGTGTGCATAACATTTTATTGCATCAACAGGTAATGTTGTGTCTGTACAACATATGGATGCTTCCTAATACCTTTGCTTCATGGCTAAAATTCTGAGCCAGCTTTTGGATTTAAATATTCCATGTAGACAGTGTACATATATGTTTTTCTGAGTTACACATGAAATAAAGTGAAATATCTTTTTTTTTTTTTTGTAGGATAGGTAAGTTTAGATTTTGTTGGTGGACTCATTGGTCTTTAGTTTACTTTGCACATGTATAAGCATACTTAACATGCATAAAAGAGTTCTGTTTCACCTCACACTAAACCGTGTCACCCAAGGCTCTGTCTAACTTGGCCTTGAAAACTGCAGAGATGGAGCATTCGCAACTTCCCTGGGCAACCCATGCCAGTGCCTCACCACCCTCACAGTAAAGAACTTCCTTGTATGCTATCTAAACTTCCCCTGTTTAAATTTTAACCCTTTACCCCTTGTCCTATTACTACAGAGTCCCTCCTCAGCATCCTTACAGGCCCCCTTCAGATACTGGAAGGCTACTATGAGGTCTCCACGCAGCCTTCTCTTCTCCAGGCTGAACAGCCCCAACTTTCTCAGCCTATCTTCATATGGGAGGTGCTCCAGTCCCCTGATCATCCTCATGGCCTCCTCTGGACTTGTTCCAAGAGTTCCATGTCCTTTTTATGTTGAGGACACCAGAACTGCACACAATACTCCAAGTGAGGTCTCAGGAGAGCAGAGTAGAGGGGCAGGATCACCTCCTTTGACCTGCTGGTCACGCTCCTTTTTATGCAGCCCAGGATATGGTTGGCTTTCTGGGCTGCAAGCACACACTGCTGGCTTATGTTAAGTTTCTCATTGACCAACACCCCCAAGTCTTTCTTTGCAGGGCTGTTCTGAATCTCTAGAATAGTTGTAGTATTACTACTTTTCATGTCATACAGGCCTAGATTGCCAGTTGTCCTTTTTATTTAGTACCTGTCGCCCTTGACAGAGAACTTCCAGTGTCATCTGCCCCTTCCCATTAACCATATTGAGCATAGCAGAGCATCAGTTGTGGAACAGAAACATGGCTGGTGTAACTTTTTCTCTCCCTCCACACCATCTCACCATCTTCCAGGTTCCTTGTAACTAACTGAAACAGCACTCATGACTGTGAAACAGGTTGAATTACATCTCTAACACCCAGTGTCACCAAGAAGAACATCTCAGATGTCTCCTATCCATGAGATGAAAATGGTGTTGTATAGCGAGTGTTTGACATTGATGCAAACTAATGAACCTGGATTCAGCAAGCAGTACTTACAGAAATCCTATCATTATGGCATACAGCTGCCAAATCTTAGAGACTAAAACTTTGCTCGGATTTCTAAATAAGAACATTTTTCTACCTGTCACAGTTTAATCCAGAGTGTGTGTCTCTGTCTACTTCTGTGAGACTCTCACATCCTGGAAAAATCTAGCAGTTCTGACCTAGCTCTGACCCTGGTATAGGAGATTTTATGCTCCTTTAAAGTAATAGAAACTTTCTAAATTTAGAAGGCTTTGTACATAGGGAAATACTACTGTGCAATTCCATATAGTTAAAATAGGGCATCTTTCATTCTATGTGCTACACAGAAAGGAAAAATTAATTTGATTTTATGTATATTATCTGGACACACTGAGCTTTATCCTTTTGATGAGGAGCTGTCCCCACATTGTCAGCCATCACAGCAGCAGCTATGAATTACTAAAATGAGGAAGCGATTTATCAATTCACCAGTTCTGATACTGGGCAAGCAAGCAGGGGAGGTTACTGGTAGACTCAGTCTTGTGGGCCTGGGTGTTCTTGTCACCAGGTGTACACATCCAGTGCATAAAATTTACTTTTGAGTGGGTCAGTTGGCATCCTGTGTCAGATCAGTAGGCATTTAGTCCAGTATGCTGTTTGTTACACACAGGTCAGTCCTTGGTGTTCCAGAGGAGGGTACGGGTTCTCTGGTGGCTGAGTATTGACAGCCCTTGCAGACAGTGTCTTCTGGCTCTAGATGGGATTTTTTTTATAAGCAGTCTGAATATAGATGGAGCTTGAATTATAACATCAGTTATAAAATTTTGAACCCTCAAAATTATTATTTTTTTGTTCCTAGCCTCTTGCATACAATGTGCTAGAATACAAGCATAAAGCAAAGAATGAGAGTAGGTTATGATACACATCAGCAATACCGTGAGAACAAAAGAGGAAAAAAAACCAAGAGTCTTCAAAATAAACTTTCTAAAAATGCAGAGTTCATGTAAGTGATGTTGGAAGTATGAGCATGTGCTCCTAGATGCAAGTAGATAAGGACAAAGCCTAACACTTCAGAATCACAAAAGAATTGCTATGTTATTCATTTTTCTTTGTGTGCTCTACAAATGCTCAGGTACTAGAAGCTGCCTGGTGGTCTGTCTATAAAGACATTTCTCCTCAGGAGCTCTGCTGCTTCTGGGGTATTCTAGTGCGTGTGCTGCTTATGTCTCCAATTTATCAGCTCAATGCTATGTCTCCATGTAAGTCTGACATATTACTAGTAGACTCTTTGAAGGAGCATTTAACTAAATAAAAGAAAGGCTATTAATGCAGGGAAGGGGAAGTTTGTGATGCCTGTGTGGAAGAAGGGTAAGTTCATGACATGGGAATAGAATTTGAAAAACAAACTAGAGCTCCTTCTGGCATTTTTCAGTTTGTCTATGCCAAAGGATAAGAATGGTCTGGGAACCAGAGTGGGAGAAGTAGCCTAGGAAAATCTGACAAGTGGGTTACACCTAGGACAGTAGGACAGTAAAAATTGCTAGCAGTGGAGTGTGTTTCTTCCTGGGGGAGAGCAGGGAGAGATTTTAAGGGTACACAATGCTAGTGGCTCATACTGGGAATAGAGAATTACAATATTTGGAGTAGACTTTTGCAGCTGCTCCTCAGGCTGTGGATTTCTCTGCTGTTCTTTGTATCTTGTTTGAAGGAGTCGCTGATTTATACTAGCGTGAGTAATTGACAGCTGTCTGTTTGTGATCTTCCTAGATCCTGGCTTTTTCCAAGGGAAAAAACCCAAGACATAAAACTTTTCATACAGATCATTAGTTGAAACTTTTTCTCAAAGACAAAATAGTGTTAACATCTACAGCAAGTTAAACAGCAAAGCATAGTAAGTAACAATGATCTCTCATCTTGGCTTTGTCCTTGTGGGCCCAGAGAAGCTAGTCTAAACCAAACCACTTTCTGAGGATGTTATGCTTGTTAAGAGAAATGTAAATGCCTTCCTGGAGCTCCACTTTGTCCCTCAGCAATGCCAGGTCTTCCTTGGCCTATAGAAATCAGGGCCCAGGGTTCCTAAGCAGTGAACTATCTGAAATGTGAGGGGTGGTCCTTAAACGTCACAAAAGACTGGAAGTGCTTGTTTAAAACAAAAAAAAAACACAAAACCACAAACCCTGGTATAATTGCATGCAGGTCAGTGACACTTCACTGCGGATGTTAAAGTCAATTTCTTCTCCTTGGGCTTTCTACATTATTAGCTACGATCACTTTAATCTGATGAATAAATGCTATCTACTTATAAGAAAAACTGAAACCAGGGAGATAGGGACTTCTGGCTGATGTGCTGCAGGCCAAAGGTCAAATTCCTCCACTATCCGAAACCTAACTACAGTCTTCTTCCTGTGAGAATGAAATGACCAGGCAGTCTTGAGGTCACCAGCTCTCCATCAAAATAAATAAAGTCTCAAGAAGTAGTTGGATTTTGTTTCAGGTTCTGTGTTGAAATCCTTGTGTTGCTGGGGTACTGAATAGCATTGTATTACGCAGTTCAGACCTCACTCTTTCTTGATGTGGCTGAGTAGATACTCAGAACGAGGTAAATCTAAGGCACCTGTTGAAATGAAAAAATGTCAATATGAATACATCAGGTATTGTATGTGATGTTTGGGGGAACAAATCAAATCACCTCTTTACATGTGAAGACCACTGCAAAATACATTCTGAAAGTCTTTTTGAAAGAAAAAAGTCTGTTACCTTTATTATTTAATATTAATCTCCTTAAAATTATGAGCCTGCGTTTAGCAGTAGTACCATTTCTAGCACCAGCAACAAGAAAACCCCAATGTGAGCATAAGCCTAGGGCAAAAGTCCTTGGCTTTTAGATCTCTTCTGTGCAATGCTATGGTTGTACCTGCCCTGATGGAAGTGGTTATGAAGATGCCTTAACAGCATAGGCCCATTGGGTACAGAGCATTTTCTGATCCCTGTTCCTTCCACCACTAGTGACATGTCCATAGGAGCAAATACCATCCTCAGTGTCTGTTTCAACACAGAACTTGAATAAGCTGGTTTAGGACTTGCATAAAGTGTATTTTTACTTTTCTTTTATTCCTCTTTTTCAAAGTGCTCAGAGAGTATTTGACCAAGAGAACCTCAGGGCCAGATCCTCTGCAATGCACAACTGCCAGAATACATAAGAAGTACTTTAACCAAGATGCATTCAGATTTTTCTCAGGGTTTTTTTGCTGCTGTTTTTTTTTACTTTCTGATAAATTCAGCTTTGCTGCCATCTTGTGTTAAATATTTTCTTTCTCGGTATTTCTCTGTACTCTCTAAAATCATTTTGTGTGGTAGAAAATGTTTTTCTTCAAGTATTGAAGCTGAAATTTAAACAGTTTATAGTACACTCTCCTGAAATGACCTTTAAACTGATATTTAATTCAGGCATAAGCTGACATACTTTCTCCCACTAGTTCTTTGATCGTAATTTTGGTGTGCTCTAACATTCTGGTCTGGTGCAGTTTCACTGAGCACTCATTACTCCTCCATTGCTTCTTTAGCTGAAAGGGTTTAGCAGCAGGCCTCTGCTTACAAGTAAAAGTTAAACCATGTCCCTTTGACTGAACCAAGTCAGAGTAATCACCGGAGTAGTTAAGCTGCTGTATCTCAAGGAGCTATAGTTGAGAACACTGATGAGTAAATGAATCTAGGCTGTGAGCACAGACTTCGAACATCTGGAGCCAGAGCTTTAGTTATTATTTATTTACTTATTTTATACTTTATTAATAGAAAAGGAAAATAGTATTCTTTATTGTATGTAGTTGTTTCTAGAAATACATTATAAACCTTAAAATTATAGAACTCTTTCTAGCTGTTTACATAACTGGAGCTTTTTAAGATAAATTGTTGTATTTGGACCCTCCTCAAAACCAGTTGAATAACCAGTAAGAGACTTTCAGGCCTAGGTCCTTAGCTGAGATAGTGATTTCAGGTGGACAGATGATCAGGTCAAGCTGAGACTGTTTCCACAGTCTGTGGAGCCCTTCGTTTGACTGTGTTGTGTTCATGTCCATTTGTTTGGTGGTGGGATGTGGTTCAGGAATACACACCCATTGTAGAGGCCCCATAAAATGTGGCTGTTATACCCAAGGATCTTCTCAGTTCTTCAGGTTTCATGACCAAATTACTGGGTAGCCATGGGCTTTAATCATCTCTGCCTAAGGCCAGATTGTCTGATTGTGCAATACCAGTAAAAAACCAAGGGCCAAGTCCTTCTACCAGGCATGCCTGCATGCTTCTATTTCTGCCAGCACTGATGGTCTTTTGACTTTGAACTGCTTCAGCTTACTAATGCAGCAGAACATCAGGCTTCTGGGGCGGAGATGCTCACTGAAGGGCTCAGTGCCAGAGCTGGCACAGGCTGCCCAGGTAGGTTGTGGAGTCTCCCTCTCTGGAGACTTTCAAAACCCACCTGCACGTGTTCCTATATGACCCCTCTAGGTGGTCCTGCTTGGGTGAACTGGGTGATCTCCAGAAGTCCCTTCCAACCCAAACCGTTCTGTGATTCTGTGGTGTGCAAGGATGTGTGACGAAGCTGAATGGGGAATGAGAGGAGGTGCAGGAAGGGGAGAGCAAGACACAGGTCTGGTTGCAGCAAGACATCATAGAATCATAGAATCCTAGAATAGTTAGGGTTGGAGAGGACCTTGAGATCATCAAGTTCCAACCCCTCTGCCATGGGCAGGGACACCTCGCTCTAAAACATATCACCCAAGGCCTCCGTCCAACCTGGCCTTGAACACTGCCAGGGATGGAGCATTCATAACCTCCTTGGACAACCCATTCCAGTGCCTCACCACCGTAACAGGAAAGAATTTCCTCCTTATATCCAATCTAAACTTCCCCCGTTTAAGTTTTAACCTATTACCCCTTGTCCTATCACTACAGTCCCTAATGAAGAGTCCATCACCAGCGTCCCTGTAGGCCCCCTTCAGATACTGGAAGGCTGCTATGAGGTCTCCACACAGCCTTCTCTTCTCCAGGCTGAACAGCCCCAACTTTCTCAGCCTATCTTCATATGGGAGGTGCTCCAGTCCCCTGATCATCCTCATGGCCTCCTCTGGACTTGTTCCAAGAGTTCCATGTCCTTTTTATGTTGAGGACACCAGAACTGTACACAATACTCCAAGTGAGGTCTCACGAGAGCAGAATAAAGGGGCAGGATCACCTCCTTCGACCTGCTGGTCACACTCCTTTTGATGCAGCCCTTGTCTGCCCATACTCCTGCATCCTTGATCTCTCCTCTGCCAAGTTGTGGAATTTTGCTTGTTGGAAGGGATGGAATGCCTTGCAATGCCAAATGGATGGGGTTCTAAAATTGCAAAACTAGTTTAGCTATTTGCCTGAAAATAGACGTGTTACCTTAGCATGATAGTGAGCACTAAGGAAGGGGGAAGCAGAACAATTTAACTACATTTCCTCAAGTAGGGCTGAGTGTAAATTTAAAGAAAATATAAACACAGTAAAAGCTACATTTTTAAGCTGTTTCATTTACAATAATCTAGGGTACTGGTAACACAAGGAAAAATGCATTGAATATGAATTATGGCATTTTTCTTGCCTGAGTCTAGGCTACTTCAGTAGTCGATGGAGAGAGATAAATGTTTCCATTGGATCATTCATCCCATCCTGAGAGAGAAGTTTGAAAAAGGAAAAAGAATTATGTTCTTGAATACCTGTGGTTTTTTTACTGAGTTAGGGGGCAGTCTGGACAGCCCATTACTTAGCCTAAATGATTAGCTTTTCAGTGGTTGTAATATACTGAGATAAATCTGTCCTCTTGTTACAGCTTTTGGTTTTGTACATACACTTAATATATCTTTTTTTGTTATTTTCTTTTTCTTTTTTTTTAAATAATCTAAATTACAGATACAAAGACAGTAATCCATGATAAAAATTTAAATGCTTGTTATTTAATAGCAGGTAAGATGACTTACGGTAATGTCAAAATGCTTTGTAGAACAGAGTAAGTTAGGAGGCTTTTAAAACTAATAGATTGTAGGAGTACATTAATTCAACAGCTAAAATCTACTTGCAGTTTTTACTACTTCAGCTTTTTTTAAAGGAAACTTTAAAAAGAATTTTCAGCTGGATATGCACAAACTTCATCTGACAGGAAGAGTTAGTCTGGATTCCTTGTGTTGTATTAAGCTGTCCAAAACATACTTTCAAGAGTCTCATTTGTGGAAAATAGGCCATAGCAATTAGTATGAAGAAAGTGAAAAAATATTTTGAAGAAAAAAACCCTTGAACTCTGAAAGAATGAACTTAGAAAATGCACAACACCAAAGACTCCAGCTGGAATTCTGGTTAAAATGACTAGGACAATGAATTAAATTGTTATGGAAATGACACCTTAATGATGCAAAAGCCTGTTGAACCTTTCTCCTAAGGTCTGACCATGGATTGCTCAGCAAAGCTTTTTTATTGCAAATAATGAAAGCTAAGAGTGTTCCAGGAGCTAATACACAGAATGGTTTTTGCTGGTAGTTTGCCATATTTCGGTGCCGAAAACAAATAGCAAATCAACTGTCCTTAGTTTTTGTTTTCTAATACACACCTAAATAGAAAAAGTGTGTAGCAGTTGCTAAGAACCTTTTTCTCACTATCTCAGGCAGTGTTAATTCTTTATAAGTTAGTGTATCTTCATGTTACGCAGTGTTAAAAGCACATGTTAAAAATATATAATACTTCTGAATTTTACCTTTTCAGCTCTTGGCCTTTCTTCAAGGATTATTTACATTTTACCATGAAGGATATGAACTGGCTCAGGAGTTTGCACCATACAAGCAGCAGCTGCAGTTCAATTTGCAGAACGTAAGGATGATTTGTATTTACACCATTATTTTTATTTTTATTTTTTGGCTCATTTAATTTCAGGATATTAAAGTAGTCTCATAGCACTTTATTGGAACTCTTAATGTGTAAATTTACCTGTGTAAATGCTTTCTTGAGAGTGAGGCCTGTCTTCTGGAGTAACTGGATGTCCCAGAAATGCTCCAGCTGGTACAGAATGATGCAGTTTATTTCTTTAAGATCTCAGATTACTACAAAAAGCTTGTCCTTTTTATGCTAGCTTCCCGCTGTATTTGAAGCATACATAGAAAGCCATTCTCTTGCTCTTCTCTGGAACATCAAAGAATTGGTGGGGTCTTTCTCCATGGTGACCAGCTCTCACAAGCATTGAGTTCCACCTGAAGAAGTGTTCTGTTAGTTGTGTAGAGAGTTAGTCTCAGCTGAGCAGGTGGATCTTCTGCAGTAGATTGATCTGAATTTGAGCCATACAAGATGAACCATGCCCAAGAATTCCATAGCTTTCAGAAATAACAAAAATTCATTTAATCAACATACTTTTTCACTCCTCATAACTGCTGTATACAACTGTATATTTATTTCAATGTTAACTCAAATGTTATGCTTCCAAAGACATATAGGTAAGTAGATACAAAGCATCTTTATTAGCCATTTGCATTAGAGCCACTATTATTTGCACTTAAAGCAAAAAGTGAAGTTCAGCATGTTAATACTGGTCCAGCCACATTTTTCAGTACAAGTAATGTGAAAGTACAGAACAAATTCATTAAAGAGTGAATGAATTCTATCATTTGCTCCAAATACTGTATATTTGGGATGACTCCATTTCTTTTCCATTTTATTCTTTCGAGGAAGGATACCTAACTGAAATTTGTATAGCTTCACTAGAGTCAAATAAGCTACATCAGCTTTTGTAGATATTGTCTTGGCTGCTGAACTTAGGGAGTATGGAACAGATTTGGGAGTACAAGAGCACCTTACTGTGGTCAACTACTATTCCTTGTGCTTTACTGAAAAATAAAATACATTTTTCACTGTAGCATCTTACTATGAGGGGCGTGTTAGCTCAAAGTTGGAAGATGGCATTGCCACTAGTGCTGTTAGTGTAGATCTGATTCCTAGAAGTACTGCACTCTTCCAGGTTTTGCTGCAATTAAATGTGTGCAGCACACCTCCATAGCCCCACCCCCTTTTACGTCTGTTGTTCATATGTAGGTATAGAACCCATTTAAAACAGTGCTTGAGGAAATAAGGCAAATCCTTCTAGATGGTTAACCTTTTCCTTTTAGATTAAAATGCAAATGCAAATGTTCTCTGCCTGTTGTGCATCTTAGCCTCCTGTTCTTTTAAACTAGATGTTTGCTACTGAGTCTTTCAGATAAAGGCACAAGGTGTCAGTGTTGTCGCACATCACAGTTTCAATGAAAATGTGAAAAATGTGCTTCAGCCCATGAATTTTATTTACGTTCATGTGACAAGTTCTGGTAGGAGCATGAGGCCACAGCACAGACCCAAACTGGCATTGTAAGTCAGAATGTGTCAGTATCTTCTATGCATATATCTAAAGAAACAGAATTATTAAAGGATTTTTTTTAATTCAGTGTTAATGAGGAAATAATTAAACTTAATTTCTTCTTAAATATGATGAAAGTACAACTTGAAGTTGTAAATAGACTACAGCGTAGAGGGAGATGTGAACTTAGGCATAAGGAATAATGTGTTATGGTATTTTTATTATACATCAGAGAAACACATGCGTAAAGATGTAGTGAGGTACAGTAAATCATCTACTGCTGTTACACAGAAATTTGAATTCTGGCTTTAGATCCAGATCCACAGCTTCCTTTTGCCAGCTGGGCTATCTACTTACTTGTCGCTCAGAGCATCACCCTACTTCAGTCTGAAGTGCAATAATTTATGTAGGGAAAATCAAACTGAGGGCAGTGTTCAGGGAAAATTGTGTTCAGCCTGTGTGTTGTAGCTGTCAAAAATGCTCCTCTCCATTGCATTCTGTGTTCAGGTCTTAGAGAACAGTTGATCTGAGCTGCTGTTTCTCCTCTTAAAATTCTCCTGCGTGTTAGAGCAAGAGAGTAACAGCTGTAGGAGTAGCACAGTAATGATACACCAACAGCACTTAACAGGTTACTATGTCCTAACGTGACCTGTTGTCATTTCCACTGTTTCAGCTGGCCAGTGGTGTATTTTGTATGTCCATTTGGCTTTGTTTTCTATAATTTGATTCAATGTCCTGGCTGCTTAAAAGTAGTAATTAAAAACTTACTAGACAAACAGATGTAAGTTCTCAAAATGGGGACATTCCCCCCTTCAATGACATATCCCTCTTGAAGGTCTCAAAATGACTTAAGTTTGGTCTGAACTGATGTTCCACTCTAAGGGTATAATGTGAAAAGTTCAGATAAGAATTTTACCATCCCCTATAGTAAAAATGTTTCTCTTCAGGAAGAAGATTTAACATGTATTATCAAACCTGTGGCACCTCATAACAGTTCTCCTCTACTATACCATGCTAGGTATGTGGAGGGGAAACCCTGGACTCACTGAGTTCAATAGGAAAAATCTCTATGTCCATGCATATGGATATTAGCAAATATGAATAACCCAACTTTTATGTAATTCTTTGATTGGTGAGATGCCTGGTTACACATGTGATATTTAGGACAGACACAGTATTTCCATGCTTTTGGCACAGTTCTGTCACTTGTGACCTCTTTCCTAGCGTGTTTATGTTATACTTAATTGTTGTGTTTGTATAGCCATGTGAAAAAATGTTCATGACAGTAACCTGCCTATTCTGAGTATCAGCAGCTGTGGTATTACTGCAGATACAGATACACAGTACATTTGTCTTTTCTACATGTGGAGAGAGCACAGCTGTCTAGGGACATTAGCCTGGCATTGACCCAGATCAGTGTTTTATGCAGTGTACTTCAAGTCGTTCAGTGGGACTCACTGCTTCAGGTTTGGGGTTATGCTGTAAGACTGGTGTCTGTCTGCCTGTCTTCCTGTATCCTTAGTGTGTAAGCATACCTAAAGATATAAAATGACCTCCTTTCTGTGGTTAGTGACCTGCAGAAGGAGGAATGTTACTGTTCTCAACTGCATTTGCTTCACAGATGTGTGCTTGAGTTGAATTCTGCATTACTATGTTATTCCTATGCTGCTAGAGCAATGAAGAGTATTATTCTTTATTGCTTTTTTTTTTCTTTATGTCTCTCGTAAATACTTCTGTTGGTGTCCAAACCAGAGGCCTTGGCACTATTAGTACTTTCATGAGATAACATGTTTTTTTGTTTGTTTCCTTTTCTTGGTGTTAGACCCGGAATAACTTTGAAAGCACTAGGCAGGAAGTGGAGAGACTCATGCAAAGAATGAAATCAGCCAACCAGGATTACAGACCACCAAGTCAATGGACAATGGAAGGCTATCTGTATGTGCAGGAGAAACGTGAGTATAACAGATGTACTTTTTAGCTGAATTTGAAAGGCACAGCATCGAAGGTGAGGACAGGAAAATGGTCTAGTTAGCCAGACAACACAACAAGTTTGAATGTCTGCAGACTCCTGCTATGGCTTCTTTCCAAATGATTGAGAGGTTCAAAAGAAAAACAAGTGACTTTTCAAAAAGCATTTAGAGTAGCTATGGTCAGATGGAATGGGGATCAAATCACTTGTAAGCAGCTCAACCTCTGCCCCTTGGGGCCTTGTGGGTCGGTGCCTGCTACTGGCCACCCTAGAGGATGGTAGCAAGCTCTGCTCTGGCTGGCTGTCCCACACTTTGCTGCAGAAGCTGCAAGCTCCCAGCACTCTGCTTTGTCTTTATCTGTCAAACCCTGCTGTCTCCTGTACTTCCTCTGCCTGAACAGGGCGTCTGTTCACCCAGCAAGAGCAACTTCCACTTTGTACCAGGGATCTCCACTAACCCAGCCACCTTAAGAGTAAATGAACATGCACATAATGGAAAACAGAAGTGTAAGAAGAAGAAAAGTTTTCTAAATACAGTCTGTTGGCTTCAAAATAGCTGCAAATATGCCTGTTTTATACAGTTCATGAGACATGAGAATAAAGTGACAAACTAAATGAAGGAACAGAACTAAAGTTGTCCTAAGTGTCTGAAACTACTTGGAAAAGCCTAACAATACATCATGTTATGAATAAAAACAGAACCGGGAAATACATGAAAAGTCAAATGACAGAATTCGAAACTATACATCATGTGAAGTATCGTGCAAAATCCTCAGTAAGAGTTATCATTGCATGGGGTACCCAGATTTATATATTTATTTATTTGTTTTTCTAGTTGCTGTGGAAATCATCCTGACACTAGAAAAGTATATAGCAGTATTTTGAGATAGTGTGTACATGCTTGTGCAAATTTCACATTTATGCAAAAATACTAAATACAGTTTTGCACCTGATTTCTCAATCTAAAAATAAATGGAAGGCATCTCGATATAGAATTCTTATGTCAGACTTGACCCCACTTGTTCTCAGTTTTGAGGATCTCTTCTTTAGTGCTTCCCTTTTAGATGATAATTAAAGAGACTACATGGAGCCATAAATAATTGATTTCTCAAAAAAATAAATTAATCTTTATTCCAAATGTGAACTAAAAGAAAGAAACCTCAGTGCTTATCATAGTTAACCTTCAGTAGCACTGAAAGTTTTAAGAAGGCCTTCTGTGTTTTGAGCAATAATGATAAAAAGAACCTGTTTTAAGTGGAAATTACACTGAGCTCTGCTAATGGGGGAGGCAGAAAAGGAGTGCATTGAGCACATGCTGTGCTTCATTAAATGGTGAGAGGCCAACTTGACATCCTCTTACTGAAAATAAATTTGTTCATTAATTTATTCTGGAGTAAGGGTAACAGGGCCTATAATCTCTGTGTCAGTAGGGAAGACACTAGCTGTAAATTTCCTTGTCATGCCAGTTTACTTTCCCACAACCATCATTCCATAGACTCTTAAATTACAGGCAACTGCGTTAAATGTTTACTATTCTGGAGAGTAAATCCTGTGTGTATTTGTTACCGATCTGCATGGTGGTAAATATGTTTAAAAAATGGCAGTAGACTATGAATTGTTCTCATTCAGATGGAGAGTCATAGGTAACGGACGTAAAGTCACAACATAGGTGTCAGCTACAATTTTTTAACGAAAAACAGGTGACTAAACTCATCTGAACCCCCTTTGAGAGTGCTCATCTTTCTTATGTGTGCTAAAAAGTTAATTAAACGCCATGAGAGGAAAAATTGAGTAATCAGAGTAATCATAGATTTTGTTTTGCTAAGTGAAATTAAGTTAAAATATAGGAACAGAACCTGAGGGTGGGTAACCAGTTGACTTTTCAATTCATGGCATGACCTTCCTGCAGAATGCTAGTGATTGGAGAGCTTTCTCCTAGTCAGTGTAACAGACTGTAAATTTCCACATCCACTTTTCTGGATTGCCAGGCATCTGATTTGCATGACCAATACAACGTTGTGTACACCTTTATGGAAATCTACATTTAGAAGGCAAACGCATTGTATCTATAGCAAAACTACTCGTTTTTTAACACCTCTCATTTTTATTGAACTGTTTAAGTTAAGAAAAAAAAAATTGAAATACTTGGTTGTTGGTTTCTTACTTAGAGCTCTTTAATTTTAAAAATAATTAAAAGATCCAGTACCTTGTACTTTGAAAAAAAAAATCAGTATCATTTTTTTGCCATGAGTAGCTCCCATTGAAATGGATTGGAAAATCAAATTTGGGTTGAAAGTATAATCCAATCCTTTCCTATTTTGAATTTGCATTATATATATACATATCTATATGTGTATGTCACTTACTTTGACACCTGCCTTTGTGATGGCTCTGCAGGGAAGGGACATACTTGAATGCCAGCCTCTGAAGCGTAGTGCTGTGCAAGAGGAAAGACAATCTTTTCCTTTGTGGTATGGCCTAAGGTAGAGCAGTCACATTGCAAAAACCTGAATTACCCTGTGCTCTGCAGCACACTAGCCCTCCAGATGTGTCTGTAAGAATCCAGGAGCTTTTATCTTGTTCTCTGTGTGTTACATTAAACTTTCTTTTTTTTTTTTCCCCCAGAAAATTGTGTGAGATCTTAATTTTACGTTTAGGATGTAGAGAGAATTATGGAAATGTTGGGAGGATTCACTCCATGTCCTCACAGCAAAGAGCACACTATAAATACCTGTATCTAAGCTAGGCTATAGATGAAATTTAAATACAATTGAGCTTAAGTTCAGTGCGTGTTCAGATTCGCTACAGGTTCACAGCAGTGCCTGAGCAAAACTCTGGGTAATCCAAGAGTGAAAATATCTTTTGCATCAGAGACCCTATATTTTGCAGTAGAATTAAGAAGTTGTGTGGTGTGACCTTTCCAGCGTAAGGCATACATCCACTTATTGGGGATTGCTATAGATTTTATGTATCTAAACTGAAGACTAGTAAATCCCAAATGAATCTAAATTGAAGACTAGTGAATCCCTACATACGTTATACTCTGGTATTGTGAGTTTGTGCAATTGTCAGTTTGTGGACATAGTCAGTTGTGCACCACCGTTACAGACACCTCTTCTACAGAAGGACACGTTCCAATGCAAGAGGCCAGTGTTTCTTGCTGAAGGTGCCACCTCTGCCACCCAGAATTCTATCCCTCATCTCTAACCCACTGTGCACAGAGTGCACTGTTCTTTTCCTTCCTTTCCTTTCACGTAATGAAATCACCTCTCAGTGTTCAACTGTGTAAGATTAAATCTGCCTCTGAGCCAGTGCCATTTTACCCACTCTTTTAAGGTAACAGAGTAGCCTTCTTCTGATACTACCAAAAGCATTTGTTAGCCTTGACAAGAACTCTGAAAGTAAAGGGAAATGCACTCTGACTTCAGGACTTCATCCAGTTCTGTGGAGGTTTCCCTCAGAGAAAGGCCGTAATACTGAATCCTTGTGCCTCACTTGGGATGATAAAATCTTCAGCTGTATTTCCTAGGCAGAAAAGTCCTCAGGAACTTTCCTGCCTCCTGCCTGTTTGCACTACTATAATACTGTTACCCTTCCAGTTGCCAAAGAAAATCAGTCTGCTGTAACATTGTCGGCCAGCCTTATAAAGCTGCAGTATCTGAAAATTATACCTGTGCAAATTAAAAAAATTAGGGGAGTTTTTGATTTTTATAGGCTACATGTGGATGCTGTTATGTTTTATTCCTCTAGCTCCAACTAAAATAGTGATAAAATGCCAAAATAATTATTTTTAATACTATCTCTCTTTAATCTAGGACCTCTTGGATTTACATGGGTAAAACATTACTGCACTTACGATAAAGGAACAAAAACATTTACAATGAGTATAGCTGAAACAAAATCTGGTGGAAAAGTGGTGAGTTGCACATACAAGAACTGTATATTCCATCTTTTATGTTAAGCATCCAGGAACTGTTAAAAGAAAAAATGTGAACATAGTATAAGGCTGTTTTCATACATTAAAGAGTGCGTGTCTTTTATAGTGTAGACAAATTAAGTATTTAAATAAAAATATTTATTTTAAATTATACATAAACTGCATAATAAATTCTCTAATGTGATGGTACCAAATGCATAAGAAATCAAATCACCTTTACACAGAACTGTAGAATGGATGATGTTTGGAAGGGAGGTCTGGAGGTCATCTAGCCTAATCTCAGTGCAGGGTCAACTAAAGCATGTTATCAAGGCCTGTGACCAGTCAGGTTTTAGATATCTCCAAGGATGGAGACCCTTATGGCCACCTCTGCAGGCAACCTGTTTCAGCATTTGGTTACTGTAATAATACTCATTCTAACATGTAACATATAATCATATTAGATATACAGATGTTTGTGAAGTTTTGAATTTAGGGAGTTTTCTGAAATACAATAATTAAAAAACAAATATGTGTCAGAAAGCTGTTAACTGTAGTCTTAATTTATATATGGAAAAGTTATTGTATATGTTCCTAAATAATTCCAATCCCTATTTTAAGACACGTTCTTTGGACAGTTCTACAGTTAAATTTAAGATGTGAAGCCAAGGTGTACCAGCATACTGTCTGTGCCAATCTTTTTTTATTTTATTTTGTTTTATAGAATGGCCTTGTTACAAGCTCACCAGAAATATTCAAGCTAAAATCTTGCATCAGGAGAAAGACAGATTCAATTGACAAACGTTTCTGTTTCGATATTGAAGTATTCGAGAGGTTTGATTCTTTTTTCATTGTGTTAACAAATTGAATATAATTAAAAATAGGAACAGTTGTAACCAATATCTAATAATTACTCCTGTAATAGGAACACATATTTCTCAATAGGCTTGTATACAGACAAATTAGGCTCTGAAGACTTGGTTCTTACTTGTTCAAACCTATTTTCTAACAAAATCTACTACATAGGATGTGTTGTCTTAAGTACATTATGTTTGCATGTGGATACAAGATGAATTCTAGTATCACCTGTATCACAGCTGACTACCCTCTTTTAAGAACAGATCAGATGTATTTTTATAAATACTTAATAAGCATATTCTGTACCAATGTATTTCCTTCAGAAATGTATGATAGCACATAATTTTTCTTATTTGAAAATTACTTTGGCACGTTGGTTAGTTTATTTTTCACTTATTCCTGGATATTATCATTATATAAGGTAGATTAAAGCAGCTTTTCTGTATTTGAAGTATGTGTACACAGAACTTTGTAAACACGTTTTTTCCAAGCTTGGGAATAAAAAGAAATATTGAATTAATTTTTCCCTTAAAATATGGTAAAAGGACTGACTTTTGTAGTCGTTTTCTTAAGAAATATCTTGTGACTGCTGCTGTCATTTTAACTTCCATCCAGAATTGCTATATTTATATGATAATTTTGAGGCTACTTTGGTGCTTTCAAATATAAGACATTATTTTGCTAGAATAGATTTCTGAGTGAGTTTAGGTTTAAGAAGTAGAAATTTGATATGAACAAATTGGTCTCTTGAAAGCTCCTAAGCTTGAATTGACAGGTTGCATTTGAAATTGATAGTTGTTTCTTTCGATGTAGAATTGCATTTATTAGACACATCTGTGGTGATACCATTGTAATGTATTCACAAGTAAGTGTTGTCCCTTCTGTCTTCCTTACTCTATTAGCACATCCACAGTTCAACAAAACTACACAGAAAAATTAGTTCCATCTGCAGTTCTTCAAGTTCTCATCAAAGAGACAGTTATAGGCACTTCTTACATGTTACTTACTCATTCTGAACATTCTGATTTATTATATCTGCATGGCCTGTAAGTTATGGGCATTCTGGAAACTCAGACAGAAGGTTAAAATGGGAGCACAATACAAAGTTACTAGGTCATTATTGTAAAGATCTGAGTTTCACAGGCTGGTGGAAAGTTCACTCTTACACTTAATTTGGTATTCAGCAGGGAAGTACTGACTTTTTGTACAGGCCAGCAGAGGAGGTAAATAGACAACGAAGTACTTAGAAATATTTGATAGGAGTTCACATACAAGGACAACATTCGTCTCTTCTGATTGTTATGTTGATAGAATGAGTTTCCCCTAAGAAAGAGAAAATTCAGTGGCCATTACTGATGTCAGTAATGACTAAGAATGTGAGCGAGTTCATATAAATGTAAACACAGTACTGGAATACTGAAGGTTCAGAAAGACTGTGATAGTGATTACATTAGAACTAATTTTAAATTCAAGATGATGTTGTTTACTTGGAGTATAATCTTGGACATCACCTACAAAATAGAGAAAAACCTAAAGTTTTTTAAAAACTTTTGAAAAGTGACAGTAAAACATAAATTTCCTTGGTAATCTGAGGGTATGACTTCTCATCATGAAGAGCTCTTGTTAAAACTGTACAGCTATACCAGTCTTCGAAATATTCTTGTAACTTCTGTCTCCAAACACTTTATCCCACAGAGGTATCTCTCTCCCTGCATCATTATTTGCAACATTATATGAAACATTATATGAAATACTATTTTATTAAAACATTAGAAATCTGTGCAGACTAATGTGCCCATCTCATTTCTTGAAAGAATCATTTTAACTGAAAGAAACCCTTGTGAACAAATAATGGGGAACACACAATGTGAGCCCTTCAAATTGACATAAATAATTTAAAATTTACTCTGTGGATTATGGTATTAGGTATTTGTATGTTAAAACATGCTGTTTAATGACTGCAGACTTGGATAACAGATTAATCTATGACAGAAATCCAGAGCTAAAAGTAGGTATCTCTAAGCTTGATGTAAAATAACACTCAGAAACTTCTGTTCCTTCCGTACATGTCAACCAAGGCACTGTAAGTGCGATTTTCCAACTGAAGTATTAAGCAGCAGTCACAGTAGAAAGAAAAAAAAATCAGTTTCTATTTCTATTTCTAAAATGTTTTTGTGAGAAAAATTCCTAGGTAAGAATCTGTGGGTACGAAGCAAATAGAATATTAAAGCACAAATAAATTTAGAGTTTACGAAAACAGAAAAACAATTATATATCTTAATCTGCATTAACTGTATCTTTTTATACTTCTGATAGTCGATAGCAAACAAAATAGCTTGGAATTTTTGTGTGTGAATGCATTTTTATATTTTGTGTTGTCCAGTTGATTTCTTGCATGTAAAAGTGTTGGTCTTTTGGAGGAGGTGGGGAAGGATGGTAGGTTTTTGGTATTTATTTTAATGATGGAAGATAAAATCTATAGTGTCCTTTATTTGTGAACCTGCCATAGAAAGATCACCATTTTGGACAGTCTGCTGAAAGTCTGAGCAGAGATACTACACTGGTGTGGGAGCTGGACTTCTTACAGTCACATGGGCATTCTGTGTTAGCCAATCAGTGAATTAATTTCAAAGCATTTCTTAAAGAACTCATTTGCCTGTGATCACAAATAGAGGCTAACTCTTTGTATTTCCCTGTCTGTTCATACAGTTATTCAAGGAACAGATTGAAATTGGTTCCCTCATCCCTTCACTAGTTCCCATGACTGTTTTTCAATGCAACATCAAAGCTTCATCAGCAGAGAGGATATGCCACTTTTCCAACTTCAGTCATAGTGGTTAGAATACAGCCAGCAGAAATAACTTGGTTTTGATTCCTCTCAAAAAAAAAAATCCTGCACTGTGACAATACTCAGCTCAATTGGCTTTACATCTCCAGACTTGAGATACTATCTCAAAGTGCTCTTTTTAGGCAACTGTTTTAGGGTATATTACTTTCGATTTACTTTGGATGACTGTTTAAGGATATGATGACCTTTACTGGTCTTCATTTGCTATGAAAGGAAGTAGATAATGAGCTCAGGTATAGACACATTTAGTCAAATTGAGCTGATGCATCTTGTCCCTAAGTTTTCCACCCTGAGCACCTCCCCAGTAAAAAATTGGTTGTATGTGATGTTTGCAAATATATAACTCATCTTGCAATATGGAGGTACCTCATACCTATTAGAGGGTTGTAGCACTGAAGACTAAGCATCCAAAATTACATGTTGCAGTACCAAACTTTTTTTGGTTATTTGTTGTGTCAGAAGCTGTCATCTTTCTTTAACTTCTCTCTGTCTTATATGTATTCACTTCATGTCAATATGTATTTGGATTCTGGCTTTGGATACTGTTTGAGAAAAAGAAATCAGTAACATCAGTGTATGTTTTTGACAGACCTGGAATCATCACACTGCAGGCTTTTTCGGAATCTAACCGAAAACTTTGGCTTGAAGCTATGGATGGAAAGGAACCAGTAAGGATATTTTTTCATTTTCTTTGCCTTTAACAGTTTTGTGGCACACCTACTAAAGAAAGAGGCTAGTATGCCTTTTAGATACTCTTAAAATACAGGCAAATTCAGTTCTGTTCTTTGTGAGACAGTATTGCAAGTAGACTTAAGGTAGGGATAAGTTAGAAAAGCAGGACTATTAGTTAATTTAAGCCTTTAGATATTTTATGTTAGGATATTCAATGTTTAACAAGATAGCATGTTGCCTAATATGATTGATGGTTCAGATAACATTTGTGAACTGGTAGTTTCTGCCCTGGTAAAGACAAACCATCTTTTGGGCAGTTTCATGGAATAAACAATTAGCACCATATTGAAAGGCGCTGCAGAGAGCATAAAACTGTGTTGAAAGCTACTAAGAGACAGTCAGTCTGAGATTTCTTCCCATTATTAGTGTGCTCTTAAAATAGTCACTGAATGAGGGTGATGTCAGACCTGTATCAAAGGGGGGAAAAAAACGGTTGATTGGTTTTAGGAGATAGAAAATTGTTTCTACAAGCTTCTTGCTTGACTGAAACAGTACAGAAATTAGATCAGTACTTGTATTGAGTTTTAGCTATTTGGGAGTCTGCAAATCTGACTTCTAACACATTTTAGGTGATTGTCCTAGCACAGGACCTTTAACCTGGGTGAGTGCTAGGGGGTTCAGTATCAGGAGAAGATGAAAGGCAAGGTTGGCATTTCCCTAGAGGCAAGCTAATTGACAGCTTGTCGCAACTACCAACAAACCTGGCAGTAAAGAATTTACAGAACAAATATTGACTTGCTGCTTTTTTTTCCTCTCTACAGATCTACACCCTGCCAGCAATTATTAGCAAGAAGGAAGAAAGTAAGTTCTTATGTAGTTACCAAATATTGGTAGATTTCTGTAATGTCCAGGTTTCTGCATACATGTGTGAGAGATTAATTATTTTACATTTTCATTCTGTTGCTATGAAATAACTGTTTGTTGCATTACATGATTGGGTTACGTAAAAGCACATCCTAAGCTATGTAAACTGTGAGAAAAGCTTCAGCTTTTGTATTATTATCAAACATAAATTTGAACACAATTTGATTGGCTTTGAAGCTACCATATATTTTACAAAACTGTAGAGAGTTTCTAGCAGTAGTCTATATTCCTAAATGAAAAAGCATGCCATTATGTTGAAATAATATCCTTATATAGAATAATAGAATTGTTTAGGTTTGAAAAGAACAAGTCCAGCTGTAAACCTAGCACTACCAAGTCTACTAAACCGTGTCCACAAGTTGCATGGTTTAGTAGGACTAAAAGACGTCTACATATCTTTTAAATCCCTCCAGGAATGGTGACTCCTGAGCACAGTGTTCCAGTGCTTGACAACCCTTTTGGTGAAGACATTTTCCTAATACGCAATTTAAACCTCCCTTTGTGCAATTTGAGACCATTTTCTCTTTTCCTATTGTTTGTTACTTGTGTCAAGAGACCAACGCCCACTTCACTACAATCTCCTTTCAGGTAGTTGTAGAAGAGTGATAAGGTCTCCCCTGAGCCTCCTTTTCTTCAGGCTAAACAACCCCAGTTCCCTCAGCCAATCCTTATCATACTTGTGCTCCAGACCCGTCACCAGCTTTGTTGCCATTCTTGGGATACTATCAGCACCTCAATGTATTTCTTATAGTGAGAAGCCCAGAACTGAACACAGGAGTCAAGGTGCAGCCTCACTGCTGCTCAGTACAGGGGGACAGTCGCTTCCCTAGTCCTGCTGGCCACATTATTTCTGATACAAGCCAGGATACTGTCAGCTTTCTTGGCTACCTGGACACAAGCTGGCTCATTTTCAGCTGCTCTTGACCAACAGCCCCAGGTCCTGTTATGCTGAGCAGCTTTCCAGCCACTCTTCCACAAGCCTGTAGTGTTGCATGGGGTTGTTGTAACCCAGTGCAGGACCTGGCACTCTGCCTTGTTGTACCTCATACAACTGGGCTCAGCCCATCACATCTTTTGGACTTTAGGTCTGTATGCACCTGTTACGTATACACTGAGTAATAAAATGAGGGTACTGAAAGATACTATGAGATTTATGTGTGTACTTATTTTAGATTCAGAATGGTTTGGGTTATCAGGAACCTTAAAGCTCATCTAGTTCCAACCCCCTGCCATGGGCAGGGATGCCTCACACTAGAACAGGTTGCTCCTGTCCAACCTGGCCTTGAACACTTTCAGGGATGGGGCGTCCACAACTTCCCTAGCAACCTGTACCAGTGTCTCACCACACTTGCAGTGAAGTATTTCTTCTTAATATTTAATCTAAATCTACCCTCTTTTAGTTTAAAGCCATTCCCGCTTATTCTGTCCCTACATGCGCTTTAAAAGTCCCTCTTCAGCATTCTTGCAGACACCTTTTAGGTACTGAAAGACTGCAGTAAAATCTACTAGAGCCTTCTCAAGGCTGAACAACCCCAAATCTCTCAGCCTGTCTTCATAGCAGAGGTGCTCTAGCCCCCTGATCCTCTTTGCGGCCTCCTCTGGACTTGCGTTTCACGTCCCTCTTGTGTTGGGGGCTCCAGAGCTGGACTCAGTACTCAGGAAGGTCTCATGAGTTTGGAGTAGAGGGCTAGGACCCCTTTCCTCAACCTGCTGGTCACATTGCTGGTGATGCAGCCCAGCATATAGTTGGCTTTCTGGGCTACAAGTGCACCTTAGCATCATATTATCACATATATGTTATTAACATATTAATATATTGACACAAATACTTATGTGTAGACAAGCTACTGATTTCTGATCCAGACAGTGTAATATCCTGCTTGCAGTGATCCACTAATGATTTGTAACTTGGATTTTTGAGTGTAAAGTGTTATAAGAATACTATTGCAGAATAAGTATCATAATCTCATGGATAAATGTGTATCAGTCCTTCCCAACTAACATGTGAAGCTAAACACTGAGAATTGTGTATTGATACATTAGAAAATAATTACCTTTTTTTCTTTTTATAGTGTTCTTAAATGAAGCAGGTTTCAACTTTGTAAGGAAATGTATTCATGCTGTAGAAACAAGAGGTATGTATGAAATATGTATTAGATTATTATGGGTATTTTTTCATAAATATTACTTTGATTAATTCTACATGTTTTACAGCTGTGCTTTAGAGTGTGTCTGTCATATTCGGTTTGTACTTTTCAGGTTGAGTTCTTTACACTTTTAAAATGTTGCCACAAGTTCCAACAACAGTTTTTAACATATTGTTTAAGTGGGAGTTTTAAACATTTTCTATGATTTCATGTTGTTTAGACCCCTTAATACACAGTTGCACACATCTTTAATTTGTGTGCACTAAACTGTGCTTTCTGATGGTAATACTATAGGGAAGCTCAGCTCCCAGCTTTGGTTATTGTCATGAAAACTGAAGGCCAAAAAGTGCCATCAATACTCTCTGCTGGCACATCTTTCTTTGCAGAACATAATTCCCATCATTTTATTCACTCTGTTTACACATGGTTTATCCTTTTTTAAAAAATGGAGACTTCGGAATTTTGTTTTCAAAGGAAAAGTGGACAGTTTTTAAATGACAAGACTTGAAATGGGAAAGAGGGAAGACTTAAATCCTGCTGATTTTAAAAGGCGGTTAAAAACAGTAAAATCAGTGCAATACTGAAATATTTGTTGTGAATGTTAGACTTTAAACTTTGTTTGTTATTAGTATCTGTGCTATTAACACACAACAATTAAAACTTAAGAGTAAATTGGGCCTTGTCTGTCTCCATTTTACATGGGATCTGTGCAGAATATTTACATTTTCAAGTGCAGTGTTGCAGCATTACACGGTATATGTTTTTAATTTGGGTACAATCATTTCTCCCATAAATGTCAATCAAATTTTAATTGGAAGGGATCATGGGCTAAGCACATGCAGGCACATGATAATTCCACTGAAGTCTAGGTAAAATAAACTTGTTGACATGTAATGTGTTTTAAGACTGCTTTTTTTATTTCTTTTCATTTTTCACTTTTCCCAGCAATCTCCTTGTTGTTTGCTAGTATGGGTCATTTCTAAATGACTTTCTATTCATTTAAGTTATGGCTAATGTATACTATGGTGTGGATTCAGTGGAATGCATTTATTAGTAACACAGAAGAGAAGGGGCAAACAGTACTCGAGAATTTAATTGTACAACTTTCCATAAATACATTCAGATGTTTTGAAAATATACACAAAGGAGGCATCGCCATATTTTCATTATTTATCCAATGTAGGTATTACAATCCTGGGGCTGTACAGAATAGGTGGTGTAAACTCCAAGGTGCAAAAGCTGATGAATACCATATTTTGTAAGTATCTGATGTGACCGTTTGTCAGTTATTCAGTGTGTGCGCTGTGATCCCTTTTGCCTTAACTGCTGTGCTCAGAACTGAATTTGGCACTTGCTATCTCTAAATTGAGTTTGCTTTCTTAAAATGAGTGACTCATCTAACTAGTTTCTTGTGTGCATTAATAAATTTCTGCATGTTATCATTGATATACATGAGCAAATTACTACTAAAATGCAGTTCTCTGTTAAGTTTTAAAGTTCTATTTATTGCTATGTGTTTGGTGTATTTCAGAAGCGTTCCAGAGCTTAGTACTGTAACACAGCATAGCTCAGTTTAATAGACAGTTGTTGCAGTCTCACTTTCCTTGCTAATTGGGCTCTTCGATGCCTGTGTTTGAATGTCTAAGCTAATTAGTAATTCTCTGTTGGCTTTGGCTTACTTAACACTTTGATATAATGCATATAGTTACCTTACAGATGCTAAATGAGTGCTAAATACATTTTTATTAATACTTTGACAGAGATTAAAAGATTCAAATGGATCAGGTTGGTAGTTAATCCAGCTACTAAGCAATCACTTGAGCTAAATGACTTACTAGCTTCTGTTTTGTCACTTTTCTAGTTAGCATGTTAGTCAAACTATAACACAATCACAATTCAAATTCCTACCAGCCCCTAAATCTCCTCCTGATATGGATATTGATATGGAACTTTGGGACAATAAAACAATAACAAGTGGACTAAAAAACTACCTCAGGTAAGTGTGAAGCTACACAAATCTCAGTATTCTTTTTCTGGCCCGTTAATCTTTGCTTATTAATACCATATTACATTTTAGCATGGTAATAATTGAGGATATTATTATCTTGCCTAATATCCCCGTGATTGCCCATAATAATAAATCTTAAATTTGTCACACTTTCTGCCTTATTAAGATAGTTATGACTTATAGAGCCCTCAATTTGGCAGAAGTTAATTAATTGTCTGTTTTTACTTAAAATTTTCTACATTAACAGCAAAGCTTGTTGTGCTCAGTCTTTCTTTTCTGAATCCCTTAAGCTGTGTAGCATGAGGTTCAATAGCATCATTGTTGGAACAGAATAAAAATCTGTGCAAAAGCACAGGGCTTTATCCTGTGCTGTTGGTGTCTTCACAAGCACAGTGTCTCTCCTGCACTGTCATTTTTTTCTGAAGATTTTTGGTAATAAGAGACAGAATTTTCAAGAATCGTGATACTTCCAAGATAATTTTGTTACGGGTCTCAACTTATAATATTCAGAAGAAACATAATAAAAAGTATGAAATCTAGATGGTTGGGTGTTCAATGCCTCCTAAAAATCTAGATTTCCTAAACAGGTTACCTAACAGAAGGCAGCATTAGAAATCCCTAATCAGTCTGGAAAACATGCCTAAGATTTATAGTGGAATGCCCATGTAACGCTTCACAGAAAAGACTGGCTTTGGTTGAAGACATTTATAATACATATTCAAAAGCATAAATCACTGTATGTACTGTGTTTGTGAAATTGCATGAGCTAGCAGTAGCTATGTGTTTGTGTCTGTAAGGCAATTCACAGTCTGCCTTTCAGAGATGACTTTCTAGGATCTCCCAGATCAGAATTTCAGTCCCAAATTTCATCATGTTTTGCCTTTCTTGGGCAAAAGATTGTTTTTGCTGTACACCTTACCATGTTACGCAGCTGTATTTATTACACTTCTGCAGTATGGAAACCAGTCAGTCTCTGTGCCATAGTCTAATTTCCCTTGCTAACCTACATGATGACACCAGTTTCAACTCAAATTTTCAGACTATGTGCATGACTAAGTTATATACTAATTGTAACCAATCATCAGTGGATTGCTTTCCGTACAACATACCAATACGCATTGTGCAGATGTTGAGGGCTATCATAATCACACCCATAAAACTTGAAAAGACTTTGAGTAATGCTTTTTAAATTTTCTTTTAATATTGTTTTTTACAACCAGGTGTCTTTCAGAACCATTGATGACTTTCAAGCTGCACAAAGATTTCATTGTTGCTGTTAGTAAGTAAAGTAATAAATAAAGTAGTATTGTTTCTAACCCTTAATCTCTTCAGTTACTAGCCTTTTGTTGGTTCCAGTATTTGTGGTAACTGCTTTTGTCAAGTTACTTGAAATACACATTTCAGAATGTTGTAAGAAGTATAATCAAACTGTTGTCATGATTTTAAAGCCTAATTTTGTTCAGCTCTTTATAATGCATGTGTGTACTAGCATACATTGGCATTAGTGACATTTGTAGTCACATCTTAGCACATGTTCTGATTTATCAACAATATTTGTTTTCTGTTTAATAGAGTCAGATGATCAGAACTACAGAGTTGAGGCAGTGCATGCACTTGTGCACAAGTTACCAGAGAAGAACAGAGAGATGCTGGACATCCTTATCAAGCACTTGGTCAAGTAATCCTTTTTTATTTTTCTCTTTGGCATTATTGTAAGATGTGATTATTTCTGCTTTGAATTTGTCAGTATTGCTTAAGCTGTTCTCTGTGTTGAAACAATGCCACTTGAAATTACATTTAATTTCTAAAACGCTGTTCTCAACATATCTCAAGAATACTCACCAGTGAAACAAACAAAAAAACCAACCCACCATGAAGAATCACCAGGATGACCAACTATGTTTATAGAGTAAACCCACTCAGTGTTTTCATTCACATCCCTACTTACTACAGGAATTGTTACTAATTATATTTAAGCAACATCTAAAACTATGCTAAGATTGTTAGAAAACACTGCTTTGAATCTGACTCAAGGTCCCATGCTGTACCAGAAATGGAGATCAAATCACTTATCCTTCATGTTTGAACTTATTTTCCTCTCTAACTCCTCTGAATTATAGTATCATTTGGAAGTATTAATTTGAAGTATTATTATTTATACTTTTCTGATCTGGCTAAATGTCCAAATCCCCTGTGGGGGTTTTCATCAGTTTCTGTGAATATTAATTAAATGTCAGATGGAGAAGATTTTGCATTTCTTTGAACTGAGGATCTTTTTTCTTTACTGAATTACCTTAGCATGTGCTATGAGATAAAAAAGACACATTTTTATTCTATTACGTCTATGTCACTAGCTGTGATTCCACACTATTCTTACACTGTAATTTATTCTGTTTCTGCCTCAAATGTTTTTCATGTACATTTTAATAAATCGTTGATCAGTTTTCATTGGTATTTGTTGAATACTTTTTAATATGTATTATTCTTTCTGGTGCTATATATGTTTTAGTATATTTACCAGTGATCTGGGAATAATGAAACATCAGTTGTTCAGATAAGGCCCACATGACTGAAATATATAGAAGGCATATTGTTTTCATTCCGTTCATTACATCCCAGCAATTCTTCTTTTTTGATCACAGCTTGAGCCACAACCTGCAGTAAGCTGTCTACAGTGGAGCAGTTTTGCTTCCTCTTATAGACATGAGAACTTTGAAAACTGCCTTGATAGGAAATTATTTAGCTCTTAAAAATAATATTTGTCTCTTTATGTCATTAGTCCCTGAAGAACTAACATGATAGTGAGCTGCTCTGAGTGTTTCCATTGCAAAAACTGATTAGGCAGACCTTGTGTCTCGCACATGGAGTAACCCAGAGAACCAGATGAAAGTATGTTTCATAACTCTCATTACTCACAGAGTTTTTTGATTAGCTAAAAATTACAACATCTACTGCTTTCTAACTTGATAAAACATTTAACAAGGGATTAATGATTACTGTAAAAACTGCTAGTCTGGAAGCCCCAAAACTAGAAATATGTGTATGTAGAACTGACTTATTTGTAGGCAGAATCAGTTATAGACAAGCATTTCTTTCTTGACCTCTTTTCCTGTCTTCTTTTTTCTTAATGTGATCTTGAATGCATTTTCAAGGAAGAGCATGCCTGAAGTATTCCCTTCTTTAATTGTTCTTTAAATCTTGCTTATCTTATCTTTGATGTGATTCTCATTTCCAATAAATGTAATCTTATGGTTTTATACTAACATTTTTCCATTCTTTTCTTTCCAGCGTTCAATTCATCCCTTCTTATTTCTCTGTATATAATTTGCCAGCTGGTGTTTATGCTAGCAATTCTAATGAGACTGAATTCAGAATTAGTCTCTTGAGTGTATTAGTTATCTTCCTTCCTCATCTTTTTCCTACCACTGTGTCAGATTTTTCAAGGAACAAGTGGCAGATGAAGTGCCTCATTTTATGAAAATGGGAAAATACGGAAAAAAAAAACCAAAGCAAACCAACCTCCTGTTTCTTCATTCTTTTGTTTAAAATACAGTTTCAAAATATGCATCCTTTCCCTGTATTTCTTTTAACTATTCAATTCTTTATGTACGCTTTTATGTCTAGGTGAAAATACTATATACCTTTTAACTATGGGTTACAAAATAAAGATAACAGTGTTTTTTTCTTGGTTTATGTCTTAAGGTCTTTACCTCTCTGCCTACCTTGACTTTTGTGTCACTGCAAAATTAAATATAATCTAGATGATGTGGGATGTAGGTCATACTAAAACCAAACAACCAAACAAAACTAGAAAATCCTGAAAAGCACCCTGCAGAGGTGATACTGCATGAATATATACTCAGTCAGCAGCTAGGCAGACACAGGAAGTGTGGTGTTGTTTTCACATAGGTAACTAATTTTTTGTTTTTAAACCTTCCTAGTCAAATTACCTGTCTAATTTAAAGAATATTTTTTTCTTTGGTGTGATTTAATAACACCATACTTTTCTAAGGTGGATAATCAGGATTCTGCAATTTGTCAGCATCAAAAATTAACTGAAGATATTACCAAAGAAAGAGATTTTGAGGAGAAAGCAACTGCATCTTAATGAATGCCTTACAGCTACCTAAAATGCATTATTATCTTGGCCTATGTCTATTCAGTAGCCCAGCAACAGTAGGACTAGGTCAGGGGAAATTGGCTTTCAAAATAATCCATTTACAGGCATGGGTTTTTTTCTCTTTTGCAAGAAATTGAGTCTTTGAGATGCATTGTAAAAAGTCCTTATTGGTTACAATGTTATTAAAGTCACCATTCCTTTTATTAACAAGCTACCAAATTTGTAACCAAGGAAACCCAAACACAGGACAAACACTGCTTTCTCTTTTATGCTATAAGACTATGTTTGTGTAAGAGACCTTAACAGTTACTGTGCAGCACAAAGCAGAGTAGCATTGCAAAGGGTTTGGGGTTTCTTTTTCAGATTTTTCTAACAAGCCTAGAGCTAATTAAAAATTCTGTTTCCATTAAAATACTAACGGTCTTCCCACCACCCTTTACTCACCTAAGCCAAACGTAAGGTCTGTTACAGAGAAAACAGAAGATAAAGTTTGCCCCTACCTGCTAGTTTCCAGTATCTTATACATATTACTGTTTCTTAATTTTAAATGGTACAAGAGTTATTTTAATTATATAGTAAATGGCCAAAAAATTCTCTACTTGACAGCAATAGCAGAAATATGGATAAGTGCCTCAGTAACTGATTCTGTTAGCAGATTCAGTATAATTAAGCATTAATGTAATTATAAAATCACTTGGCCTTTTAGTTCTCAGACACGAGGCAATAGGGCAGCTGTGACTAGGGAATCACTGACGGTTATTTGAAGGATTTAAGATGATACATTTTTTATTTGGTAAATCTTATTCATAAGGAGAGAAGAGGGGCCCTGAGGATTACTGATTGATGGGTTTCATTTTATTATCTGATATATTATTGGGAAAACTAAGTTTCTGAATTCTACATTAAGAAGAAAAATGACAGAAGAGGTAGAGTAAGCGATAACAGAATATACAGAAGTAAAAGGTTATTATATTTTAAAGCCAGAAGATGTCATTATGATCATCTCACATAATCTGTACCACCAAAACAGTGATATCACTGACCCCGTTGATCACGTTTTCAAGATATTAATAAAGAGATGCTATTGCACTTAAATAAATGCTTTCAATGACTAAGTTTCGTTCTTTTACGTGAAAGCTGATGTATATTGACCTCTGTTACTACGTAGTGTTTTCAGTAAACCCACAATCAAGTGTTTAAGCTCCTGCATAGTCATTAGAGAGGGATAGGTGCCTACCCTAAGACTCCTAAACTTTAGAGACCTCCAAAGATATTTGCTTTTCCCTGTCAATTATGTCAGGAACTTACACACTTAATCCAGAAAGACGTGCTCATTATCTATTTAGTTATTGCAGCATGGGAGCCTTAATGGAAATATAATTGTTGTACTACACCATATTCTGACTCTAGTAAAAGTTTTTAAAATGTTTTTTAAAGGGAAGACGTGAACTTGGGATCTTGTTAAAGAAGTAGCATTAACAGGGTTTTAGCCTGTTGGAATTGCAGTTTAGCACAACAATTTAATTGCATATTCTTTGTGTTCATTTAAAGGGTATCATTACACAGTCAGCAAAATCTTATGACTGTATCCAACCTTGGTGTTATCTTTGGACCAACTCTGATGAGAGCTCAAGAAGAAACCGTGGCTGCTATGATGAACATTAAGTTTCAGAATATCGTCGTTGAAATTCTGATAGAGCATTATGAAAAGGTAGAAAGACATTATCTGACTGTTTTGTGGTGAAGTGGAACTAAGATCTTATTTTCATTGCCATCATTAGTTCTTAAGATTAAGAAACACACCATTTATAGAAAGTCATTGATAGAAAGAATACCTTCTTCCCACCCTGTGCTATGGGTCTGTATTCCTGGCAAGTCTTTTGTCACTGTGCAAGGTACAGATCCAGGGCATAATCTTCCGTGCTTTGAAGGAGTTGCTCTGAATCTTCAGTTGCTTTCTGTAGATCTCTGTGCCCTTACATCAAGAAACAAAATGAGAAGGTCATAAGTTAGCTCCAAGCATTTCCATTTCTCTCATGCTAGCAGTGTATGAAGGTTAACTCTCAGTAAATACATGGATTCTCCCCTGAGTGCATCAGGCCAGAGTCTTTCAGACCATTACTGTCCTCTGGGAATACACCAACAGCACAGTAAGCATCTAGTCCCTCCTAACACCATGAAACCCCAATGATCCTTCAGTTCCTCTTTTCACAAGCAGCATCAGTATGGATCCCCAGCAGAATCCCACATTTCCGTTCATTATGTTATTTCTCCTTAGTTTAGATACTAAATGAAAAGTGAAAAAGCTGAAGGAAGAAATAATATATCTTAGGTGAGGTTTTGTATTCCTAGTTACAGGTTTTGTGCCCATCATATCTGTGTGATTTAAAAGTTTCTGAATACTCTGGAACCTTCAGCCCTCTCTAGATACTCTTCTGCTTTGAAGAAAGGCACATCTGTTTATTTTATTTTCCCAAAGAGATCAATCACAGCAAAGGTCCATCTCAAACTCTTTAACATTGAGTAAGAACTGCTTCAGGGCTTGAGAAAATCTGTGAAATCTTAAACTTACTTTCAGTCACTCCCATTGCAGATACCAGCTTCACTGAAAAGTCTCCTTATTTTATTTTATTTTATTTTATTTTATATTTTATTTAATTTTTTTTTATTTTGAATTGCTTCATTTCAGAACTCAGCAGAACAGTTAAGACCTCTTTTGGTCATCAAAAGAAATTATATTTTGGGGATCTTTTATCGATGTATATCGCCTGTTAGATGACTAATAAAACAAAGTGAAAAACATTTGTGTTTCTTCCATTTTACATTACTCAGCTAAGGGGTAGTTCCTGGTCAATACCAGGATCCCCTGCACTGGTTGGTCAGTAAGTACTGACAATACTGCTTAGTATCATAGAATCATACAATAGTTAGGGTTGGAAAGGACCTTAAGATCATCAAGTTCCAACACCCCTGCCATCATCAGTTTTATTTCTTAGGTACTCCTCAAAATTGGTATGAGACATATAGCCTCTTTGGCTGTAACTCCAAAATACATGCCTTATGGATTTCCAACACTGAATTTCTCTTCCAGGAGATTAAAAGCTCATTCAATACAAAGACCATGGCTGCAAAATCAAAATCACCCTTGCTCTGTTTCTCTGTCTACAGACATTTTTATTTTTTTATTGATATGCTACTCACTAATGCCTAATACAGTATTAATGTACTTCAAGAGCATTTCAAGACATTCATTAAACTATTTTCTACCATGGAAGTGTATTTCCTTTCTTCCACTTCTGTGAATGGCATGGAGGTATCTTTTCATTGATCACTTCATCCACTTCTGGGAGTGCCCTATTTAGAGGGGGTCCAGAAATCCTTGTGGAGATGCATGGTATTTAGCCTACAACACTTGGTCCTGTGGAGATTGGACACTTCATACACTTCCTTCAGTAGCTTATTCAGGGAATCTATCTTTGTAAAACCTCATCTCCATTACACAGAATTCCACTTCCTTCCACAGAATGCCATAAGAGATTTTCAGTAGAATTTAATGTCTACACTAGGATGAATAAGTGAGAAAGATCTGAAATTAAAACCTGCGTATCTTCTGGCCATATTTTTCCTTTGGTCATCCTCCACAGCAGTAATACTTACAAGAAGATTTTTAGGGTCTCTGCTGCATGTGTCTTGGATATTGCAGAACAGATGATACAAATGAAAATTAAGAAAATTACTAGACCTTCTGCATTGCTCTTGGTGGCAGGCTTGTCAAATTTATCTGCAAAGAGTTCTTTAAAACCTCATCTGTACCTGTATCAAACTGCAGTAGTCAGATAACCTTAAAAAAATGAGTTATTTCTGCAGCAGTGAAGCACAAAATTGACCAGTGGTATGTAAAAGATAAAACCAAGGAGATGCTCCAAACATAAAGATGTTTGTCATCAAATTTGAATTGTTTCTCAAAATAAAGTGGTTTTCTGAAATACAAACTGGATTCTAATAAGTTATGACTATGACACATTTCTGTGGCATACAAAAGCTTTCACACGAACACAGAAAAAATGCAATCTTCATAATATTTTAAAAAATATATTACTTCTTGAGCGGAAGTTATAAGCATCTATTGTGTGCTTTCCAGTTTAGACTGTTAATTACTTCTTAAGAAGGGCTATAAAATAAAATGATTTAAACAAATACTTTTATATAGCTTGTGTAAATTTTAAGTACAGCTCAGTATTCTGGTTTTTGGATTGTAAAATGAGATCAGAGCAAAGCTTCTATTCTGTGAATTTATTCTTTTGTGATGTGTGAGACTATTACAGGATTAATTTTAGGCACAGTGGTAAGGAAAACAAAAGAATTAATAATGCAAGTGTAAGAGTACCTCTTTGTTTATATCATTTTGTCCCTTTTTTTTTTTTAATTATGCAGATATTTCACACTGCACCAGACCCCAATATTCCTCTACCCCAACCTCAGTCCAGATCAGGTTCAAGAAGGACAAGAGCAATTTGTCTCTCCACGGGTCCACGTAAACCTAAAGGAAGATATACACCGTGTCTTGCAGATCCTGACAGTAAGTTTGTTCTTGTTGACTGCTTATCTTCCTTTTTATGTCTTGTCTTCAACTTTCCTGAGTAATATCCATTAGGTATTGTATTCCAATAATTGTAAACATAACGGGTGGGGTTTCATCAGCTTTTTAACCTCTGTGAGTCACAGCCACACTGTTTAGTGACCATATTCCTTGCTTCTCTCAGATGAGGAAGGCTGTTTGCTTTTAGGAAAACCTTATATTGCATACAGTGTTCAAAAGTCATTTAGAGTAGTAGCCTTTGTATTCTAACCTAAACGTAGTCTGCTTGCAAATTCAAACATTTGTTGTACAAAGTTAATCTCATTTGCTTGTAAGATGACTAGTAAGGTTGAGAAACTGTAAATAGAATTTTTTCTCTCCTCCTGTAATTAATATAATTCAGTAAAGCTCAGGACCATTATTTGGCCTTTTTCACATGCATGAAACTGTGGTCGTTGGTTCAAAGCCAGCCATTGCCTAGTTGCCAAAACCACTGAAACTTGGGGAGTTTTCTGGAATCGAAACAAACGCTAATGTTTTGGGGAGAAACAGTGAACCGTATCATATGGCTTACTGTTTAACAGCAGGGAATTTTGTTTATAATTGCTGCTTAGAATGCTTATTCATTTTCATCTAGATGTGGCTATTAAAAAGTTTCGCTTAATTCATTTTCATCTAGCGGACCATCACTTTTTTACTTACTGGCTATCCAAGTAACAAGTATTAAAATTTTATCAAAGATTAAGTTGTTAAAAGTTCTACAATGCAACAGACTTCCAGAAAAACTTCTGAGTCCCTTGGTTTCTTATTGAGATTTACATAAAGCTGGTACAGTAAATTAATCCACAGTTAAGGTGCATCCGTTCTTGAGGATCTGTTGTAATTCTTAATTCTGTAATGTTAGGAAATATATCCTCAGTATACTCCTGCACAGGTCCTGCATTTCCCATATGTTTCTCTTACATGATTCCCGCCAGTGAGAGTTTAAATACTAAATGAGCGCAATAGCTTCCAACATATTGATTGCCAATGTGAATTGCATGGGATCTTGAGTAAGAAGTTACAGAGGTATCATGAATTACATTACCCAGAGGAAAACTGGACAAGTTTCAACTGTTTTTCACTGTGTAACTACAGTGAGTGAATGCCAGCATAAAAAAGGGGCATTTATGTGCAGCATTTTGCAGAGTGTATACAAGCTCATGGCAGGGTTGTTGGAACCAGATGATCTTAAGGTCCTTTCCAACCCAAACCGTTCTGTAATTCTGTGGTCCTTCATTCAGACACAGCCTGTGCTGGTAGCTCAATTTGAGCTATGTCTGACCAAAGAGAGTTCCACTTTTGCTTTGCTTATTAGCTCAAGCTCAGCACTTGCTTACGCAAGTTCCAGTTAAGATCTCGGTTATGCCTGGAAGGCCGAAGCATAAGCAGAGGTATTCTCCCAGCCAAGTATCTCTAGGTGTGGCTGGAGACAGGCGAGAGAGAGCCTTGGCTTCTGGCAGGAGCAATTTGAACTACTAGGTGGGTTAAAGTCATCATTTAAATGAAGCACAGACATCTAACTGTACTGCAGGAAATCAGGGAATTCTGTATGGTGTAAGAAAATGAACTACAGGTTTCAAATGGTAGGGAATGACAGAAAATTATAGAAAATGCTTCTGACAAATTCAGACTTCGGCCAATCTTTCCATTTTCAAGGGCCTAATGGTCTGTAAAGGGGCAAGATGAGGGACAATCTAATCTGGAGTACCAGAATTATGGCTAGAAGAGGACAGAGTCTTTCACAGTACTATACCAGTGTCACTACTGTTGTCAGAACCACTCATTGTGCAAGGCACTGGTATTTTTTACCTTATCTGTAGTATTGTGAGGGATTCTGACCACTTGTTGCCAAGGATATTGTAACATTTGGAGGAAAAGCAGCTGTACATCTTATAACTACAGTATTGTTGAAGAATACACGTTTTCTGCTTCCTGTGAAATTTGTGAAATGTCTCTCTCTTAGCTTTTGGGAAAAAGTCCTATTAGAAACCAGTGTATGACTAGAATAGACTAAACCCAGTCTTCAAAATAATTTGGCTATCACTGTATTATAGGCCAGTCCTTCCTCAGTTCTGATGTATGTTTCTACATTTATATCATCAGCAAATTAGGATATTCCTACTTTTTGTTGGAAAAGATTACTGGGAACAAGATCAGTACAAAGATTTTTTTGTGTACGTAGGTGACTTTCTCTCATACCTGTCTAACTGAAGAAATTCATCAAATGTTCAGTGTTCAAATTGTAAGTAAAGGAATGAGTTGTCCTTCTGCAGGATAGATATTTCAGCGAAAGGGATGGTGACTGAGAAAATAGGCTATCTATAGACAGACTTTGGACTAGTCTTACAGAGACTGCAGAGATACTCAGCAGCTTGGTAACTGATCTAAAGCTTAGTTCTTGTGCCTGCTGGCAATAAGGTCATGCATTTATGACTGTAAGTAGGACAGCAACCACAACATTTGCCTTAGCATGGAAATCCAGCAAGATACCACAATGACTATGTTGAATTTTCTAAGAATTATCTGTATTGCAGGCAAGTCTTTTAAAATGCAAACTTCTATGTGAGATAGTTCAGCCTGTAGCCCACTGTGTTCATCAGCTCTAAAGTAATAGCCAGGAAAAGCAGCTCTCCCAGGTTAAAGATAGGAATATGTGTGAAACTTAGTGTAACTAAATAGGTATTTTGTCTTGACTCATTGCCTCTGAGACCACAGATTAATGAGTTTGGTGACAAGTGAGGTACAAGGAGCTAAAGATGGTATGAGAGAAATGCACATGATTAGAAAATGTAAATTATTTTTCTCTCTCTCCCACCCCTCACTCCTCCCTAGGTGACTCCTACAGCAGTAGCCCAGACAGCACTCCCATGGGCAGCATTGAATCTCTCTCTTCTCACTCCTCTGAGCAGAACAGCACCACCAAATGCACGCCCTCGCAGCCCAGGGAGAAATCAGGAGGGATTCCATGGATTGCCTCTCCTGCTTCTTCTAATGGCCAGAAGAGTTCAGGCCTCTGGACTACAAGTCCAGAATCCTCATCAAAGGAGGATGCAACCAAAACAGATGTGGAGTCAGACTGCCAAAGTATAGCTTCTGTCACTGGACCAGAGAATGCCTCTCCACCAACAGACCTGACCAAAAAGAGTTCTTGCAGTCTCTCTGGGCTGAAAAGGTCTTCAGCATCTTCCCTTAGATCAATTCCATCAGCTGAAGGTAATTCCCAAGGTCTTTTAGGACATCTGTGTTTATTCTGAAGCATCAGAAAACAAGAGCTGCATCTGAAAGCAGTAGTTAATTGATTGTATTAATTAGCCTTTTTTTTTTTTTTTGTGGTATGTTCTTTCAGTTTTCAAACTGTTTCTGAGATGTTTCCATTGTTTGTTATCTGTACTGTTCAGTTTGAAAGATACCAACATTTCTCAGAATTTAGAGTACTCTCCTCCTCTAGACCATCTTGTAAGAAGATTGCTGGTGTATAAGAAGAGTTGGTAGCTATGTTCTGTCACTGTGTCAAAGAAATGAATCATTGCAATGACTGATACTGATCAAAGCTAGTATTTAAATTTAAAAGCACCAGGCTTAACATATCTAGTAAATAACAGTTTTGTCACTCCTTGTTGGTGTGTCTGTTTGTTTGTTCGAACTTTTATGTCTGAAACCCTACTGATGGAATGACTGCTTCAATCTGCCCTACTTGCATGGTTTGTTATCCAGTACTACAAGTAGGTTAGCTTAAACAGAAGATTATGTCTGAATAGTGCTGTATATAGACATGATGTGCAAAAACCCAGCTTTAGGAAGCCATTTCAGTGCACAAGTTAGGATGCCAGTTTTCCTGTTCAGTGAAAGAGGAATGCTGCTTCAAAGAACATCCTCAAAGCATGTAAACTGAGCCTGTGTCCAGTATAAGCCTGTGGACAAGGCTTCTTGCAAGACAGAGAAGCTTGAAAATAGCTTATTAATGTAGACAGTTCTGCTAAATGCTGTTAGCTGGAATGCCTGTGAACCCTTGCTGTTCTGAGTATCTCTCTGAGAACATGAGGTGATATTGCACTATATTGGCAGCTATGTGGAAGTTAACTTTAGAAGAAACACCTTGAAGTCAGTATAGTTGCAGTGGTTTATATTATGAAACTTAACAGTCAGCACCAAAACAGTGAGCTCCAGTAGACTGAGTGCCAAGTTTGCCACTGAGCTGTCAATAGTATAAGTAATTCAACTACAGGTGGACTAAATATGTAGCTATGTGCAAAGCCCTATAAGTTTAAGAATGTTCCCTCAGCCCCCCATGGATAGTACAAGCTTTTTCATAAGACTTCCATATATGAATTAGTGTTATATTAACAGTATTAATAATGTAGACTGATAATTACAATTAACATTTGTAAAATAGAATTATATGATAAATTAACAATATTACTAATATAGGTATTGTTTTTCTTTTGGGGGATCTCCTTGTAACAGCTTTTAAAGTGTTATTAAGCATCTGTTGTTCTTGGGAAACACAGTTGTTGTCTTGCAGAATATATATGCAAATAAGGCAGCAGTCCACACATAAGTCATCTTAAAGACACATGTGGCCATGCTTTATATTCACTAAGAGGACTTTAGTGTGTCCAATGCAGTCTGTGCAGCTGTAGATTTATCAAGTTACAATAGCAGTTGTTTTTGGCAAAGCACAATCATTCAGTCTGAAATATTTTTTAAGATCCAAGAAACGTCTGTGGATAGAGAAATATTAATTCTTACAAATCAGTGAGGCCTGATTTCGTAGTGGATGCTGCATTGAGGCAGAATTTAGACTAGATTACTTCCTGAGATGCCTTCCAACATAACTTTTTTCTACAGTTGTATGCAGTGTACTAGTTTATAAATGTTGTTTATACTGATAATTTTTAGTGACATTACTATCTAGCTATTTAAGTGCAATGTCATTTTTAGCTTTCATAATTTAGTGTCATTTGTTCATTCTTATTGTTGCTGCTTTTCTTCTCACTTCCTATCTGAAAGGCTGTTTCTTCTCTCTTAGTAAGTACTTTACCTATTTTGTCTTTTACATAAAAGGAACAAATAACACAACAACAACAAAAACTTTGTTTTGTGTGTTACACGTGTTACAAACCAACTCCAAATTACATTTAATATTCCCTGTATTTTGTTGTTTTCTTTAGGTAACAAAAGCTGCAGTGGATCTGTACAGAGTTTATCTTCAGCAGATACCAAAGATACACCAAAGGCTCTATCAAACCCTGATTTGCCTCCCAAAGTGTGCAGGAGAGCAAGATTAGATACTGCATCAAGTAATGGCTATCAAAGACCAGGATCTGTGTAAGTCATCAAGGCCCTTTGGAAATTTGTCGTGTTACAGTATACTTGTCTACTATAAAGTGATCCCAGAGAGGTACATAAGTAGTTAAAGAAACATCCATTAATACTTGATTTTAATATTTCTGTATGTGTGAAGTTTTTATCTAGCTTCATTAAACTGTAAACAAAGGAGGCACTGCACAAAATCTGTTGAAGTGAGTTAAAAGACTCACACTGACTTCATTAGACTAGAGATAAGATCTATAATGAAGAAACATATCTTTGTAAAGTTATTAGTTTTATTATGTCTGGTTCTTCTGAAATTTAATGTTTAAAGGAATATAAATGCTACTTAACTGTCCATGCTATAATATCAAGAAGATCATCGGATTTTATTTAAGTCCAAAATTGGAGAAAGGGAAAAAAAAACCAAACCCAAACTCCTGCTCTGAAATTTCTTCAGTTGCTGCATATTAAATAGCTGATTTCTAAAAGGGCTTTTGTTTTGGTTTGATGTTGGGAGGGAGGGTAGTTTTAAGCAAAATTTAGTCTGTTGACATTTGGGTCAGCAATGTTTCTCAGTGCTGTTAGCACAGACATAAGAGTCAGAAGATCTTTACTGTAATCTTGACTTTGACCCAGAATATCTCTTTCCTCATGAACAAGTGATTTCCAGATGTGGAGACCACCAAGAAATTCCCCAAATATTGCAGGGCTCTATTCAATCTCTTCACTTTTTAAACTGGAAGGGTTCACTGTAGTCATTTCACAGTCTGCTGTGCCTTAAACAGAGTCCTGTGCAGCTTAGAGTGCCAGCATGATAGTGACAGACTGTTAGTAAAAGCATTTCCAGTATATCTATTGGCCATCTGTGAATATTATTTTAAATACACGGTGTTGAGATTTCCCTTCCTGACTCAGAAGGCACTGGAGCACATGGAAGTTGGTGGCCCCAATTACATTATGTCCTTCAGAATGCTGCTCAATAGAGACTTAAATCCAGCTTTTGAATTTCCCCAGTTTCTCTAAGTGAATAATTAAAACAATTAAAAAAGAAAAAAAAAGTGTCTGTGTCTTTAGATGGTTAAAAGCAGACCTAGTCTGTGTATTTAATCAATGGACAAAGTATAAAGTAAGGTGGTGTTTTTATTTTCAGAGTGGCTGCAAGAGCACAGTTGTTTGAAAGTGCTGGTTCACTTAAGCAGGTTTCTTCAGGACGGTAAGTGCTTCAAACTGTTTAACAATTCATAAAATCCTTTCTGTTTTGCTGGCTTCAAAGATTGAAGTAGATATGTTGGAGGTTTGTTCTGTATCTTTTGGACAGCATCATGTGGCATGTGACATTTTTGCAATTTATTAAACTCATCCTTTTTCCAAAAGCAAGCTAAATCTAATAGAGAATAACAGCCAGTCTGGCAGTTCTGTCACCTGAGGGAACTGCAGTAAGAGATGCTCAGGGTATTGATCTGCTTAAGAACAGTGCTATAGGAGTAATTAGGATGCTTATTCTATTCAGCTGTTCATATATACATGCTTTCAGCAGAGTAGCAAGCATGTTACTTTATGGTAATGTGCTCAGATAGGCAGGTCTTGAATAACAGCTGCTTTAGACAGTTCAAGATTGACTTGATGAGGATTTCTGTCCTTGCCATCACACCTTCCACTGTATCTGTCTGGAGAAACTGTGGCCTTTTCTTCTTGACAGTGCACAGCAGGAATTACTTATATTTTTCTTTTTTACAATTGTTGCATTTATTTGGTGGATTTGATTCATTCTCATTATTCAATGAATTCAGAATATTCTGATAAGTGTTCATCCAGGAAGCAGTGTCTTCCTAGGTATGTTACTAACCCCCTTACTATTAACAGACTGAAACAGATAATCAAGTAACTGGCTGTGGGAAAAAGTCTGTCACTTTTTTTCTTTTTTGTTTTTTCACTGTCCCAGCATTTCAGGTTCTTTGAGACAGCAGGTGTGTTTTTGTGCATCACTTTACTCACTGATAGCAGGATCTTACTGAACTGTCAAGCAGACTGGGGGGAGGTTGGGGAGGAAGTCAGACCATTAATCCAGAAGTAGTAATCTAAAGTAGCACAGCTGTAAAGGGAAGTATCAGTGTATGCTGAGATCTGTGGCAGTGGAATGTGACTGTTCTCTCTGACAGATCTATCAGAGGAAAAAAAGAGAGCCGGCCTACAAAGGCTCACTGATTTTGTGTGAGAGAAGCAGCTTACAGGAATTAAGGCTGTTCTTGTTTTGTGTCGTACTTGAAATGTAAGGTGACCAAAAAAGAGGGTGTCAGGGGAGGAAGAAGGTAGGAAAAGAGCAGAGCAATTATCTAAGGAAATATAAACTAAGAGACTGGAATGTTCTTAAGCCAGTGCCCTAAGCCAGGAGTGATGATGCTTCACCAGTTCTTCATAATTTCACCTTCCTACTCTTATTTTTGTATTACTCCCTTCTTGTAAACTCTTCCCTGTTGCTGCCTCAGAGCCTGTGCCACCTGTATCTATATATAAAAAGCATGTAAGAAGCAAAAATCTGACAAAGAAAAAATGTAGCAGTTTGATAATGGGTATGGAGAGCCAATAACAAAGCCAAAAACGCTGAAAGGCTTAATAGCTCCTCTACTTCAGACTTCATAAGAAGGCAGAAGAGCAACAGTAACAAAGAGAATGGAAAATGAGAGGTGAGCAGGCAAAAAGGGGAAGAAGCAGCTCAGCTGTTCTTACAGTGCTGCTGAAGTCCGAGTACATTTTTGCAATTTAAAGCCAGCTTTTGTTTACCTCTCATGCATATTATGAACACGAAGGCTGATTTAAAACCTTAGGATAGTCATTTGTTAGCTCTGAAGTATGTAGAAATCATGGTAATTAAATCTTGATCCACTCAGTAGAAAGGCTGTTTGTGGTCATAACTCTGTTACCAAATGAGTATATGCAGGACAGAGCATAAGACAGAGAAATTATTTTTAAGCTGTCTGGTCTGATACCAGGAATACTCAAGTCAAGACAGTGTTGAACTCTGTGCAGGAATAATTTACCCTGCTAAAATAACTAGTTTTGAAATTTTAAGCTACTACTTACTTATATATTACAGTATCTAAGTAGCTTTATTTGTATTTGAAGCATCTGTTGCCTCTTGGGGTCATTTGTACAGTTGACAGATGGAAAATACCTCAGTCTCACATGTTTCTGTGTGTTCCAGCAGATAATTTTGCACTTGATGCTTTACCACCACTGTGGGCCAATGTTACTTAATTCCTTCTTCCAAGAGGTCTTTGCAGCCCTACTTCTTGGCTTCGTATAATGCAACATCTCTGAGTGTGTGTCCCTTTTTTAATGCTGGGACGTTATCTGACCTGACTATTTTCTCTCCTTGTATGCATGAGTACATGCCCCTATAGCGCTACCAGTTTGAAGAGATTTCTTTTAGTCAAAAAGAGAACGAGAAGCCATAGTACGTATTTAGGTTTGGACAGGGAATACCAAAAGGTTATGCCCTGTCCAGCCTGTGCTCTCTTTTTCTAGTTCCAGTTGCTTTACTTCTCAGTCTTCCCATTCCTTCCCTCCTGACTTCAAGTTTGTTATTCATCCATCTCCCTCACTGTTGTATTGAGCTAGCGTGTACACTAAGGCCAATCCCTATTGGTAATCTAGCATGCACTTGAAAGATGCAAAGGAGTTTTCTTACCACTTTCACAAATATTGCAGTCAGATAACAGTCTTAGTGAGGTCTGAGGTCTCTATTGCAGCTTCTGTACAAAATCCATCAACACATAATCCCTGGCTCTATGTTTTCTTGACTTTGATTCAGACGTACACAGAAAGTCAAGTCTTCTGAACTGAGAAACTGCATTATAAAAAGAGGAATTTTCATTAGAAAAGAATACATAGAAAAAATGGAGTTGATGACAGAAAGGGGAATTGGTGACAGTAAATGGCTCTAGCTTGGAAGCAGGATCTCTAAGCTCAATGGGTTGGGACATTAATAGGAGTAGGCTGACAGTACGAAGCCCTCTAGACCCGTGCTCCCCTCCCCGCCGTATGATTAAATATGCTTTTCCAACCATTCTTCTGGTTTCATTTTCATGCTGTATTTAGCCTTGTCCAGACCAGAACAGTGTTTTCTACTCACTCAAGCTTGGCTGTAAGTCTGCCATCACCAGAACTCTATAAACCTTTCTTCTTTTTCCTGTAGAATACTATTAACTGATGAGTCGTTTGAGAGAAGGAGTCATGTGTTTTCTCTCAGTCATTCCTTTTCTGGCTTCTTTGTCTTGCAAGACTGAAAACCCATTTGGGCAGGAGCGTAGTTTTAAAACTTATTTATAACTTCTACAGTTATTGTTGCTTTTGTTTTTGTTGTTGTTGGAATTGTTGTTGGTGTTACCATTATTATTATTAAAAGAGATAATAATAAGGTGTTGTTGACTGCATGTGGACAAGCAAAATAATTTATGATCTGATCCTTCTGCTGCTAGTATAAGTCTATCATTATGGGCCAAAAAAAATGTAATAAAAAGTAGGAAGAGTAAAGTGCATTTTTCTCATCTGGAGTCTTATTCAGTAAAGTCACAGAAAGAAGGAACTTCTAGGAAATGTGGTTACCATTTTCTGGAGTTGTTTTTTTCTCTCTGCACTGAGCAACATGAATCACACTTTTCTCAGATTGTTAGCCCCATATTAAGAGAACCATAATAAACAATTGTGATGTTATCACATGTTTTTTCAGAAGCAGCCTTGTTTGCAGGGAGGACAGCATTAACACTGCAAGTAAGAATGTCCATTTTGATAAACACACACACACAAAAGAGAAATGCCCAAGAAATGCTTCTAGCTGGGTAGGGTTGAAGTAATAGCTATTATGAAAACCTAAGTAATCAAATCAAGTGTGGAGGCAATAATCAGGAGCTTTAAAATTGCTGGAGAATTATAATACTCTTAGAATCTGTCTCTCATTACCCTATTGCACACAGTTTGTAGATAACATTGAAATGTAATTATTCTGTAACAGGAGCAAGGTAATGGGAAGGATCTTGTAATTCATGAGCTTCTGAGAAACTGACATCTTTGTACATGTGTTTGTGTATCTGTCTAAATATCAAAGTGCTGGGAAGCTTTTTTTTTCTAGAACTGACCAAAGCAGAGTCCATGTTTTCTTACCTTCTTTTTACTTTTAAGTAAACATACTTGGATCAGGTAAAATTGGAAGAGTTTAGTAGACATAAGAGATTATGGCATTTATTTTCTTAACTTTTTCTAAGGGCACTAAAAGCAACATGTCGTATCTCAAGAATAACTTAAGTAATTCCACCTCGCATTTAAATATTGCTGTTCTATTACTGCCTTAAATGTCTTTTGTCATAATATTATTCAGATGTCACATTCGTAACATGGGAAACTGGCTTGATAGTCGTGCCGCTAAGTAATGAGGTTCTACACATTAAAGAGGTTCAAAAACATCCCTGTTCTTTAGTAAATTCATTACCAATTACCTTATATTTATTGCAACTGTACTCATTGTTAACAGTTACTCTACAGCTTTATACGTTTAAAATACACGATTAGGCCACACCGGTGTATTGGGTTTGCATGAGAAGGTTTTGGTAGCAGTGGGGCTACAGGTGCTGCTTCTGTGATAAGCTGCTAGAAGCTTCCCCATGTCTGATAGAGCCAGTGCCAGCCAGATCCAAGATGGACCCACCACTGGCCAAGGCTGAACTCATCAGTGACAGTGGCAGTGCCTCTGGGATAACATAGTTAAGGAGGGAAAACTGCTGTGCAATAGTAGCCAGAAGAGAGTGAGAATATGTGAGAAAAACATCCTTGCAGATACCAGCGTTCAGAAGGAGGAGGTGCTGTAGGTACTGGATCAGAGGTTCCCATGCAGCCCATGGTGAGGCAGGCTGTGCCCCTGCAGCACATGGAGGTTCACCTGAGGCCTGGATAGAACCCCATGCCAGAGCGGGGGAATGCCCAAAGGAGGCTGTGACCCTGTGGGAAGCCTGTGCTGGAGCAGGGTTTTGGCAGGACCTGTGGCCCTATGGAGAGAGAAGCCCACATGGAGCAGGTTTGCTGCAGGACTTGTGGCTGCTGGAGCAGCCTGCTCCTGAAGGACGGCACCCATGGAAGGGACCCACGCTGTAGCAGCTTGTTCCTGAAGGACTGCACCCTGTGGAAGGGGTCCACAGTGGTGCAGCCTGTTCCTTAAGGACTACACCCCATGAAGGGACCCATGCTGGAGCAGTCTGTTCTTGAAGGATGCATCTCATGGAACGGACCCATGCTGGAGCAGTTCATGAAGAACTTTAGCCCATGGGGAGGGACTCACATTGAAGAGGTTCACAGAGGACTGTCTCCTATGGGAGGGACCCAGTGCTGGAGCAGGAGAAGTGTGTGAGGAGTCCTTCCCTGAGGAGGAGGGAGCAGCAGAGCCAATGTGTGATGAACTGACCACAGCCCTCATTCTCTATCCCCCTGCACCACTCAGGGAGGGAGAAGTTAGGGAACTCAGGAGTGAAGTTGAGTCCAGGAAGAAGGAAGGGGTGAGAGGAAGGTGTTTTTAAGATTTGGTTTTATTTCTCATTACCCTACTTTGATTTCATTGGTAGCAGTTTAAACTAATTTCTCCAAGTCGTGCCTGTTTTGCCCATGATAGGAACTAGTGACTGATGTCTCCCTGCCCTTACCTCAACCCACAAGCCTTTCATCATGTTTTTCTCTCCCCTGTCTGGTTAAGGATGGCAGTGATAGGCTTTGATGGGCACCTGATGTCCAACGAGGGTCCACCCACCACGACAGAAAATAGCTTTTTTTCCAGTATGGGTCAGTATAATTAGAACACCTGTAGCATTCTTTCTTGTATTGACTTTGAGGAAAAATGATCTTGAGATTAAAGTATTCAATTCTAGCTTATAGGTTACTTTTGGTAAAGACATCTAATCTCCCTCTGTATATTTTAGTATATATTATGGATTATTATGTATAAATGTGTATTATCTAGCATAATGAAACTTCACACTTGTTGACTGCAGATGGCAAATTCTTCATAAAAGTATGCACGAAGGAGTTGTCTTGGAAAAATTCTGCACAGACCATCCTACACCAGCCAGAAAGCAAGTTAACAGTGGAGTAGATATACAGGAGTCCAGTGCTCATGTTGTTCTAGTTAGCAGTGGAGATGCTAATGGGGTAATGGGTTAAAACTTCAATAGGGGAAGTTTAGATTGGATATAAGGAGGAAATTCTTTCCTGTTAGGGTGGTGAGGCACTGGAATAAGTTGTCCAGGGAGGTTGTGAATGCTTCATCCCTGGCAGTGTTCAAGGCTAGGTTGGACGAGGCCTTGGGTAATATGGTTTAGAGCGAGGTGTCCCTGCCCATGGCAGGGGGGTTGGAACTTGATGATCTTAAGGTCCTTTCCAACCCTAACTATTCTATGATTCTATGATTTTATGTATCCAGAATGATAGTACTAAGAGTTAGAAATTATTTTCAGCATCCTGAGAATAAGGTACCCTTGGATATTGTGGGAACAACTCAAAATTCTTGACCTCCTCTGGAAATCTCAGCCTGAGAGTATAGCCGTTGATGAGTCAGTTGCTCACTTATGATGAAGGCAAAACATGCCATTTGGTCTAGTCATAAATCAGCTTCAGAGAAACATAAGAAAAGCTTTTTCTTCAGAGGGAGAAAACATTTCTGGAAAGCTCACACATATAAACTTTGGAAGATGTCCAGACACTCTCACATCCTTTTAAAGATTTAATGAAGATAATGATAGTGTGCTAGTACTGATTGGGGCCATGGAATGAGGCCAGGGTAGAGGGATGCTTTCTGCGCCCTTTAGGAAATCCATCCCTGCTTAACCTCCCCAGGGAGGCATGGAACTCCAAAAGTGAAGTGCCGTGGCCCCATTAGTGATACACAAAATAAAACAGACTTCTTATGCTAATGCTTGTGATGTGGCAGTGTTACTAATCTAATTCACAACTGTTATCTAACTATTTTGGGAGGAAAGGCAAAACAGATTACATGTCTCTTGCATATATACATTCTCAAAAAGTATGCAAAAAACACTGAACTTCACCACAGGTCACGTATTGGGTCATTGAGATGAATCCTGGCTGGAAGCTAAGCTGAATCAGTAACTCCCCAGCATGTCGTACAAAGGTGAAATAATCAACAAGTTCATCTTCACTTGATATAATGTGGGCTTCCAATAAACTTAAAGAAACTCAGAAAAATCTCACGGAGCATGTAAAAAATGCTTTGAGTGTATAAATTGAAATCAAGGTATTAGGTAAAGCACAGGAACTCTAAATTTTCATCTTCATGGTCAGTCCCTCATTTTGTACTTTGCAGAATAATAGTACTAGAAACCGTATCAAGAGATGACCTAATCTGTCCTCCTTCTCTGGGATAGAATAATTATATATCTAACTTTTATCTATATCTGTAGTGCCGCTTTGTTTTCTTAATGAATTTTTAGTAATAGGAATTCTTCAATTCAGGAATTCTCCAATGCTTGGCACTTCTGGTGCTTCACTGTTCTAACCAATAGAGCAATTTTCCAGCTACAGATTAAGAGACATAAACTTACCTGTCTACATATAGGTGTCTTCACATCAGATATTATTTATTTGTGGAAGGTTTCTCCACAGGCTGTGGAACCTGGTGAGCCATTTATTGCACTCAAATATGTGTCTGCCATAGCAGAAGCCAGGCCTGGGGTGTCCATGGAGCTAGGCATGTAGTTTACTTAAAGACACCTAAATTCAGGTGTCTGAAGCTGAAACCCGCTGAAACCAAGCCACTCAATTTAAATCTCCCTTGCTGCAGTTTAAAGCTGTTTAAATCCTTTTTGCAGACAGTCTGGAGAATGGGTTACTCCTTTTTGTCTCATATTTTTCTTCTATGTATGATTTTCTTCTGTAGACTGATGAAGTATATTTTGTCACAAGTCACTTTTAAATGGTCTGCAGGCAGTCCATCACTTGCTTCAAGCAATATGCTCAGTTCAGTACTCATTTGAGTTACAATTCCAACTAGAATGAACGAATAATTTTAAAAGTTATAAATCATATTCTAAGTAGGATGTTGGTCTCTTTTCTGCAATAACATGTTTGTTAACCACAGTAAGCTTGGAGTTAGTTTCTGCTGTGATTCTACTCCTCTGACCTACTGTCTAACCAGTCATTACCATCCTGCATTTGTGCAGCTGAATTTTCCTACTCTTCCCTGGGTTTAGTTTAATTTCTTTACATGTTTTTCTTGTTATCTCATTTATTTCAAGCCTGCATTTTTTTTCTTTCAGACAAGCAAAAGCCATGTATTCCTGTAAGGCTGAACATAGTCATGAGCTGTCTTTCCCACAGGGGGCAATATTTTCTAATGGTAAGAAAAATTTTACATTGTCTTTATTATGTAAAAAAGAAAAGTAGATATATGAAAACTGAGCTGTATCCATAAAATGAGAGTGTCATTTCAGCTCTCAGTTTTTGCTCTGATTTTTCAATTTCTCTTAAACAAATACTATCTATATGAACCTATGAACCATATATAGGGTTGTTTAACAGCATTAATTAATTGTAAATATGTTTTTTTGTCCGGCTGTTGTTTTTTTTTGCAGTGTATCCATCAGTGGAACCAGGCTGGTTAAAAGCAACTTACGAAGGCAAAACAGGGCTCGTTCCTGAGAATTATGTTGTCTTCCTCTAGTAATCTTTAGTGGACAGCAGTATCTTCATGGTATCCATGGTAACAAATAATAAGCACTATGATTTTTATCTGACACAGATATGGGATCAGCCCGTTAGCTGAGTGGTAGATTTCCGTCAGAAAAATGCAGCTGCAAGTTACACAGCTCCCTACCAACGGAACAGAATGTAATGAAACAGTTAACAGTTTCTGTACTGAAGACGGTACTCTGTTTAAATAACTTCCATTGTTTGCAAAAGGTTGTTCTGTTCTTCTTTTATGGGTAAGGATCACTAGAGCTATAAAATCAAAAAGTTGCTATTTAGCAGCAGACTTTCAGGTCCTAGGATGTTGCTCACAGAAGTGTGAAATTTAGAGGCAATGCACTCTGTGACATTTCTTGCAATCTGTGGGGTTTTATTATGGAAAATTGTTTGGTTTTTTTTCCATAATGTAAGTAATGCTTCTATTGTGATCTGAATGCTCTCTTAGAAAACTTAATTCTAAAATTAGTCCTAACCATTTCAAATAAGAAATAAGTTTTCCATAAATCAGAAGTTTGAGTTTCTGTTAGTCACTGAGATTACAATAAGGTATAGAATTTATACAACTGATAATAAAATCAGTTTATATACTGCCTGAGCAGAAAATGCTCATTCAAAATGTGATATTTTTAATGAATCCTTCATTCAAATGCTTCTTAAGATTTATTCCCTTCTTTCTGTATTGGTATACATAATAATAACTTTTGTTTCTATGATACCCATCATCTGGAAGATATTGTCTCTCAGCACAACATCTGTAGAAAACAAAGAGATGCTGACTCTGGAGTGACTTGTAGTCATGTGAAGTGAGCAGTGAAAAACAGCAGTATGTTTTGAAACCAGAGATAAACTGGAGCTGAGTCCTTGTTCAACTTTTTCCATTGCAAATAAGACAAATGGCCTGTGAAGTGTCTAATTTTATAAGCTATGAATGCTGAAAGCTCCATCCAGGAATAAAAGTATTATTTCGCCCAACTTCTGCCAAACTGTTTGACAAAGATTTCTCCCCTTTGATGGAATAAAAAATTCAAACCAAACTAAAAAAAACAAACAAACAAAAAAAAACCCATAAGCAGCTTTCTCAGTCATGAGCATCTTTCTTGCACATCTTGAGGAAAAACATGTACTGCTACTTGGCTATGTACCATGCCTGATTGAAAAGCAAGATATTTAAGCTCCATATTAGTAACTCTTCAGAATTAGTGCTAAACTTCTGTTGGGACTGAAAACATCAGTAATCTTTCTGTAGACTTTTTCTTGTTTAAGATAGAAAATCTTTTTTTTCTTTCCTTTTTTTTTTCTTTCTTTTTCTTTTTTCCTTTTTTTTTTCTTTTTCCATCTTAAACACATCAGAACCTTCTTTACGTGTATGTAGTGTGTAGTTTCTGTAGAGCTGTTCTGTGTTGGAATTCAGACGGGTGCCAAAAGCCTGCAGGATCTTTCTCCTCACTAATTAAAGTGGTGATCAGAGAACAAGGGAGGCTGGAAGAGCATCCTCCCAGAAATCATCTAGCATTTTTTTTCTCAGAGGGGATTCTGGACAAGGCTGACTGCAGGCAGTTGAGGACAGACCCCTGGAATTAGTGACTGAGTGATTTGGGTTCTTCCTTCATTCTAAACAGTTTTATTAAGTCTCAAATCATGTTTCACTTCACCTTAAGACCAGACTGTGTTCAGTGAATTGAATGCTTGTTCCAGCTATTGTCACAGGCAGTGAAGGCAGACGTGCTCATCTAATTTGCCCAGAGCAGACGTGAAAGGAAGTGAAGGTCTTTTCTCACCAGATTGAGGTTTTTTTAGTCTTAAGGCAAGCCAAGTTTTCTTAGTGTAAGCTATGCCTGAAACTGATATTGCCCTGAGATCATTGGCATGGTTTTGGTTCTGGTTTTGCTGTATTTCACAATCCAAAAATTGCAGGCTGTCAAAAGGCTTCCTTCTGATGAACTCCCCAGGAGAAATGCTGCTGAAGGCAAAAGCAGCAGAGAGGGAGGCAGAGCTTTGAGCATACATCTTACCCAGGCAGAAATGCCGTGGTCTAGGGAAGAATCCCAACTTCTATCTATTCCACCAGGGCCAGTGTCAAACTGACCTCTGGAACATCCTCTGATGACCTGTTATACCTCTTGGGAGCAGTTAAATGTTGTGAAATTCTTGAGGAATGGTGAAATAGAAAATGTTTGCTCTTGTGTTGCTTTACCCTAATTTAAAAAGCAGGGGGGAAATAATCTTAGGTCATCTCATAGCCTGTGTGTATTTCTGCCTACTCTTCAATATTGTATTTTGAAGCCAGCTGATCTGAGGAGTCAAAGATGCCAAGTTCATTACAGGCTTTGTAAAAATGCAAGTTCAGTTACAGATTAAGCAGGGCCTGTATCTACTGAGGGAAAGGTTGTAGAAATACCTGGAGGTGTTTTGTATGTTCCCATGCATTCATCTCACATTAGACACAAAATAGAATTGCAGAAGTCAACTTCATAAAAACTGGATACCATTCATTCTGCTGCTTACAAAACATCTGTATTTTCCTCTGTAAGACTCTACACTGTTTCAGGCCCTTCTTCTGAACAGGCCATGATGATCACATAAATAATTTTGAAGTAGCTTAGCTTTAAACTGGCATTTTGATCTGAAAAAGGTTATGCCCCTTCTTAATCAGAGTGAACCACACACTCTCTATTACTAGGATTTTCTTCTTTTTTAATATTTTATGAGGGGTTTTTTTTTCCTTTTTTCTGTATGTAACAAGCACTTTTTGTATAATCTCACTGCTGGGTTGTGGATGCTCCAGCTCTTCCTTGACTTTCTAAGAGAGAGTTCGTCTCTACAAGAAGCTGTACATTTAACTGGAAAGTTAAGTACTACGTACTCAAAGACTGAAATGGGGAGAGCACAACACCAAAGCTTATTCAATGATGATACTCTCAGGCCTGACCAAAAGTCCCTTCTGATAATTGCAAAGGAACAGAAATCTATATAACATTTAAATGAAGATACAGTATCTTGATAGCGCCATACCAGAAAATTAGGCAAGCTGAACTAAATTAGTTCATAGTACTGATTTACTGGGTTTTATGGAAGTCAAATTCAATTTTCCAGCAAAGGTTACACAATTTTTCAATTATTATTATCCTTCCTAAAAACATGCAGCAGTTTTTGTCCAGATATCACTGTAGAACTCAAGGTAGATGACACGTTGTGATTGCTGTTTGTCCTGTGGAAGTAGCCTCTCTACCCACAATTTACTTAATTAGCCATGTTTTTATTTTATTAAACCTTTTGATGCATGTTGCAGCACAACATGAATCAAATTAATAGTGTGAAGGACTGATATATTGTATGATAAATATGTAAAGTATAATAATATTTTATATTCACACTTTTTATTAATGATGATAAAGATGAAAAAATATTTTTTGTGTAATCCCTATAAGTTCAGTATTAAAATGTCCTTGCCATATTTTGGCATATAGAGTTATATGTAACAAAACTTTTAAATTAAACCATAGCTATCACTTACATCCCTAACTAATCTGTATAGTTCATTGTTCAATTATTTCTGTAAAAAAACAAATGCACAGATTTGCTGGCCATGCTATTCTGTGATAGTAATAGTAACTTATTTTCCTTTCGTATGTTTGCTGGTGCTAATCTTTATTCTTTGCCTGTAATTGGATTGAATTGTAATGTGCCTTTAGGAAAGACATGTTTGGAGAGGAAAAGTTGCAAAATTCAGCAGTTCAGAACAATAATGCAAAACAAAGAAAGAAAAAGCATTGTATGGCAGCAGTTGGATTTTTTTGTTACATTTCTCCACTGGTCTATTTTCTACTTAATAAGATTGCATCAGAATAAATAATGAAACTAAAAAGCATTTTGTTCTTTGTACTTCTTTTCCTAAGGCAGCAGTTTATGCCATTTTGGATTGAGCAGCAAGAAGCAAAATCCCAGTAGGGGTCAGGTCCCCTGGACTGGGGTGGACCTTCTCCACTGACAGAAACTCTCAAAGCTCTAACAAAGTCAAAGACAGACCTTTAACAATTTATTGTGAGGGTTTGCTGGCCAGAATCCCCCAGGAAAGTAAATGGCATATTCTGTTAATGAGGTAACATATGATATGGTTTAGCATTACTCTTTCTTTCAGCAGAGTGCTCTAGATAGATTACTCATCACACTATCTAGGGATGAAGCTATAGGCAGTGTTCAGTCTCACTGTTTGTGGTCATACAGCCCTGACAGCTGCAGCCCTTCCAGTTACTGCTCATGCTAAAATCAGACTGTTGATCAGCCTCTTCAGTGCAAGTTGGGAGGTCTGGTTTTAGGATAAGATTTTGCATGGGCTTTGGGCATTTGCTTCATTTTGCTTTAATACAGTGCTTGGTATCCAAACAGCTACTAATTCACTGTTGTAATTCAGTCTCTGAAGATTATAGCATTGTTTTTCTTGTCCTGTATGTGGCAGTATTTAATAAGCCATTGGATTACCCTTGTTAATTTTAAGTGTAGAAAATGGTGCTGGTGTCTCAGCTGAATGCTACTCTGCATCTGAGCTTTTTGCGAGTGTTTTATTGGGAATTATTGTCAAAGTTCTGACTCGAAAGATAGCAGCATGATCTCAGCACTGTTTTTGTTATAGCAAAGGGCAAAGCAGCTGAACAGGGTAGTTTCAGTTTTCAATCGTATTTATGATAATTTTGAAGGTATTAGAGTTTATAGGGGTTACTTTAGATACTACATGGGATTTTAATAGTAAAGTATATGCAATCAATAGCTATATATATTTAATAAAGTCCTACTAAATTATGTTATTGAACTCTCTGTTTATTTTGTAGTGTGGTTTCAGAAATTATCTGCACTCTGTATATAGCTACATGTAAATAACTGGCATGACGTGCATAAGCTGAGTTGCAGACATAATTTGATGCTGTATTTTACACTGTATTTCCAAAATTTGAAAGAAAAAAACAAAACCTGATTTTCAAAATAAAAACCTTTCTACACAAAGTGGTTTGTTTAGTGTTTTTAGGTTTGGGCTCTGATGCAGCCTGGTTCTTTCTTCGAAATAATAACACTTTTGTTCTATTTTCCTGCATTTTTGAGTGATGTTTCACCCATGAGGATGCTTTACATAGAGGACATTGCTCCTTATGTTGAGCAATTGGCGTGTGTATGAGTACTGAACAGTAGTATGTCATCTGCTGTCCTGGTCATATGGAACTCTCCAAAGATGTGGCTTTTGAGGGAAAAGAAAATGACAACTTTGGATGTTAGCTCACAAGCAGCACAACCCTGGTATATCAAAACATTATGTCTTTGCCTCTGAAAATTAGCGGATGGGTGGCTCACGGAGGGGGACTTGGTGACCTGAATCCAACAGCACTGCCTGTGAGGGAAGCATCATGAGTGTACTGGTTTCTCCAAGTTTCTCCAAGTTTCCTTGCATCCCTTTCCCAGTGTTTCTCCAAGACTTTTCGCCTCAGGGACCTGCAGCTTTTCAAGCCCTCAGGAGGGAGTTATTTCCGTCGTTTTCTGTGCCGGAGGCAGGAGGAGCTGTGACGTGGCACCTTCCTCTTGAAGGGTCTCCAAAACCACAAGAGGCTTTTATACCCCTGAACCAGTCAGGTTTTATTATGATATTAACTAACTTTTTTAAACCAGAAGATGAAACACCAGCCAGCTGATTAACCGTCTCTCCCTGCATGGCCAGGCTTGAACAGTGCACAAAACTGCTGCATCGGACCAGGGAAGACAGGTCCTGCTCCCACACGGCTGGCTGCCTGCCCTGGGCACACAGGGTCACACAGGTAGATCTGTCAGCCTGCACCGTACCATGTCAGCCAGCACTGTGACAGCTCCATATGCAGCTGGCATGAGTTACGGCTTGCGTCACCTCGGCTCCTGTCAAGGACCATGAAAGCAAGCATGGTACGAGCTGCCACAGGTGCCCAGCTCTGCATAGTGAGCAGGGATAGAGAAAATGGAAGAATATGTGGATTTTGATAGTTCACTAAAAATGATAGCCCATTTTTTGTTAAAAATGCGACATAAAATGTTTTTTTTTCTATTAGGTTTCTGCTCTTTCCCATGGGGATGCAGGCTCCTTGGCTTTCAGATCCTCTGCTCCACAGAAGTGAGCACAGACTAGTTTGGGATCTAGACTAAGCCCTAAAATAGATCTCATCACTCATTCTCCCACTGTCTATAGGGCCATTTTATTTGGCATCATGGAATAACTAAGGTTTTTCTTTCTTTCTGGGAAATAAATGTTCCAGCTTGCTGTATTTTGACATTTCAGTGAGTGTTTAAATATAAGAAGACAAATTCCAGTTAAACTAACACAGCATTACCTTGTTATCACTAAATTAAAAACTCCCAACAGATGAGACACCTGTTTCTTACCAGAAAGAGTCAAGACAGATTTCATTACTTGGTTGCATTGCCACCTTATAGTGGGTTAAGTCTCATGTGTTTGAAAAAGCAGATCTACTGCTCTGCAGGCTTTTATGACTTGGTAAGTGTACAACATGGACTGTTAAGCAGGTGAGTTGTGGAATAGCCGTGGTACAAAATAGGCACTTGGCTGAGGGAAAGCAGGATGCGAGTGGGGGGATGCAGCCACACCAGCCCTGCCTCCCGTGGAGCCATGTGCTCCTACAGAGCAGGAATTCCAGTGACCCAAGGAAATGATGCAGGTGTAGACTGAGCAGGCTGCAAAGTCGGTTCAGATCCCAGTTGGGATCGTTTTCCCATTAACTGGGTATGATTCATTCCCTCAAAACCTGCCATTCTTTCTAACACAAACTCTATACATCCTAAACATGGTAAATAAGGTATTTGCACTTTGATCTTTTTTATAATTTATTTCACATTTGCAAAGCTTTTCCCCGGTAATTTGGATTAATGATTGATACTTAAAGAAAGTATTGAATGATATTCCTGGCTTCTTTTGCAACGGTTGGCTGCTTTTCTATTGTATTTATGGCAACAAGCTCAAAAGCTGAAGTAACCTAGAGCAAGTGCCTTTGCCAAAGATCATGGTGTGCTTTTTTAATGTAAACATGTGGGGATTCATGGGAACACTGAGTGACCTTCACAGCCAGTACAGAAAGGAGTCTTAATTCACTTGAAAGTACTTTGGTAATTGGAATACATCTTTCTGCCAGGATAATTTGAGAGGCTGATTAGTTAGACTTAGCATGGGTGTATTTAATTTAAAATTACTGTTAATGGCTCTTGGGTGCCCTTAGAAGGGATTAGAGTCTTAAAGAAAAACATCAGTGATTTATTTTTGTTGATGGTCATTGCTTTTGTATTCTTACCAAAAAAGACAGGTTGAAAGGGAAACATGCAGCATATCTGGATTTGGGGCATTTTCAAAATGAGGTTTGCAATGGCACGCTTCATGCTAGGGTGGCCACAAGCTCCATCCCCCTCGTGGGCAGGGGGCTGAGTCCTTTGGTGGACTTGATGGGGTGGACGGAGGGTATGCAGCTTGTCCCAGCACAGCACAGCTTGGAGCAGGAGCCATGGGCTCCAAACAAGTTCATGTTGGGGCTCTGTGGTACAGATGTTGCCAGATGCTCACAGCATCGCTGGGGAAATGTCAGCGTGCTCTGTAACCAGGTGAGACAGTGTGGGGTGGGCAGCCCCATGAGAAACCTGTCAGAGGACAATTCACAGTCTGGGGCGGAAGGAAGATAAGAAACCTGATCTTGGTCAATCTGTAGTGTTCCTCCTAATAAATTAGCCTGTGTACGGGACACAGCTGGTTCCTAGAAAGAAAGAAATGCTGTTTGCAAGGGCCTCACAAGAAGATAACAAAGATTAGGGTTTCAGTGTGTGCGAGCTGTGAAGCTGAGCACAAAGTGCTGGAAAAGGAGGCTGTGAATGTGATGATGGCTGGGAGTCCAGAACTGCCACAGAACAAACAGGATGCCTCTCAGCAGGGAAAACCCACCCAAAAAATGCATCTGGTGGTGCCATCTGTAGGAAGCAGGTAGACAACAGAAGACCTCAGAGATTTAGGTGCAAACAAATTGTGACACCGCTGGGCAGCAGTGGTGCAAATGTGTCCTTACAAAACACCACGGCTTAAACAGTCCTTTTGTTTGTCCTGCTGTTGCTGTTGGTTGAGGATGCTTATGTTTGGTTCTGAAAAGTGCTGTTTCTTTTCTGTAAATACGACAAATTGTTCCTACCTTGGATGGGAAAAATGGTCATTCTGCACAATGTCCTGCCTGCCCTTTTACAGGCTCAGTGTAAGGTATCTTCCTGGGGCCTTCACTGAGAAATCTGCAGTGAATGCTGTACAAGTGTTCCACCCAGCTTCCTACTGTGATTTCTAACACCTTTTTGCCTTGGAATGGGTCCTTCTCTCTGCAGTCCTTGTCCCCCTATCATCTAGATGATGCAAAACAAGCAAGCACAATTAACGTTGCCTGCAGAGAAAGGCAGAACCAAGTTGTGCACAGATGTTTGGTTCTGTCACTGCTGAAGCCTTTCCTTAATAATATTCTCTCATCTTTGTTTAATGATCCTCTGAAACATTCCTGACTAAATGAACTGGGAAACCAAATGTCTGGATATCTGTAAGTGCATCAGCATGAGAAACTCAGGTGAATATTCTTGTGGATTTTAGCTAACAGAATTAGCTTTGCTGGATAGTTTTTATCCAGAAGGAAAATCAAGAAAGGGTGTTTCTGTATCATGATGTTATTTGTGTGCATCTTGTCCTGGGTGCAGCTGCAACCCAGTACAAGATCTCTACAAACAGCTCCTCTCCTGAACGCAGCAGGAGCAAACACAGCTCTTTGCTTTTCATCACTCCCAAGGCACTCCTTCGAGTCAGTCTTCCCTCAAAGGATGCGTCCTGTTTGAGTAAAACAGTGTTAACACAAAACCCATTACAGCACAGTAGGTGATTTGGGACAGGGGACCTCCTCATAGTGTCAGCTCAGCCTTGGCTCAGTTTGGTGCCTTCCCAAGTGCTGCAGCATCTTTATTATTTACATATGCAAAAGGAAATGATGGTTTTCTGCATGGCAGGATCTCTTGATACCGCTTATTTCTTTGACTTGGATAATTACAAAATAGCAGGGCTGTCTCCCCTGTGCACAGCCGATGATTATGGCATGAACTCATCAATATGTTTAAGTGGCAGCCCACCTACACTGTGCAGGGGTGAGTCAATCTTTGTAGCATCTGTATCATTACAGTGTCTGTGATGTCACAATGAAGAAACATCTCATTTAGGCCAGCTGTTATTAGCCGAAGGTTAAAGCAAAACCTTCTATCTCAAAGGGCTTAAGCATCTTATTTCAAATAATGAGTAACCTTACTTTGCTTGTTGCACCCTTCCATTACCTCGTCTGTTAAAAACACAAAACCCAAAACCATTTTTGAGCAAAAGAGGTATGCATTCAGACTGAATCTGGTTATTATATATATATTCGTTCCACTCAATCCAGAGGAACATCATTGCATAAATAAATAATTGGGGGCTAAATAAAGGTTTGTGTGTTCAAGTGAATGCATATTTAAGTAGAAGCACAGTCCTAACCTTTGACACCTTGAAGTTCCCCAGTGTCTCAAAACCTCCTATTTTCTCCTGTGTGCTAGCTGCTAACAGAACTTTCATTTTAAAGAAATCGCGTATTTTTGTATTGACCGAATAGCTTCTGCTATTCTTTAATTGTATAGTTGTATTGGATGTTTCAAAACTAAATTAATCTGGAAAAAAGTATCTATGTGGTAAAACCCAGCCCTGTCAACCTGTTCATGATGTGCACATGAGTCCTGATAATGTCTAAGAGATCAGCTCACAAGAACCAGGACATTCAGAAATAAAACTGAAACATCACTTTCAAGATGTACTGCATTATGTGGAAATAATGTGGAAAAGTGTCATTGTCATTGTCACAGTTAATGCTTCTCTGAGAGCATGATAACATTAAAGTGCATCCTTATCAAGGGCTGAAATTCAAATTGCCAGTCCAGACCT